AATTACAAAATATTCATAATTGAAACATGGCACAATATTTACATTACCAAAAGAATAATAATAATAATGAAAATTCAGTAAAGAAAATCAATATTGAAAATCTAAATCAAAGATAGACACAAAAATCACATCAACAAAATTTACTAAATTAAATAAATCTTTACTAAATATTCAATAAAATAAATCCTTTTACCGGAATAATTTTTGAAAACAAAAAAAATAAATTTCCATAATAGGTAAATTATAAAATAAAATATTTAATAAAATTTGATAAAATTTTCAGTTTTTCAAAAAAATTACTTTTCGACGCCTCCTGTTCATATAATGCTTATTGAAAAACAAATGCAAGATCATTCTTATTCAGTTTTTAGTGCAAGACAATTCTTATTCTATTTTCCGTGCAATAAAATGCTTATTCAAAATTCTATGCTAAAAAGTACAATCTGAAATTAGCTTACACTATGAGTTTTATAAAATTTTCAATTGAATATAATTTTTAATTACAATTGCTTAAACAATATTTCTTAATACGTAAGAGATAATCAAGTATTAAATTTTCTAATAACAATAGATACGCACTGAAATTCTCAGATATTTAATTGCAATTTAATATTAAAAAGATGATTTAGGGTTACATTTATTGTTCTGTCAGTGGCAATTGTTTTGCACACAATTTTGAATAAGCATTTTATTGCACGGAAAATCGAATAAGAATTGTCTTGCACTAAAAACTGAATAAGAATGATCTTGCATTTGTTTTTCAATAAGCATTATATGAACGGGAGGCGTCGTTTTGTCAATTCAACTAAAAAAATTTAATTAAGTTCATTTTTTCAAAAAAATTTTTTCAAAATTTCTAAATTAAATAATTTTTGTTAAACAACTATTTAAAAACTTAAATTCTACAGGAATTAATTAATTATTGAAGTAAAATAGTTTTATTTAGTTAAATTAAATTATTTTCTTAATTTTTAGTTACAATTGTTCGAAAATACAATATTTCTCAGTAGCACGTAATATTACAGCAATATTGAGAACACTAACTTAACATTACCAATATTGCCTCAATGTTGTCAATGTTACTGGAACATTACTTGCTACTGGTGTTGTGTATTTAATTATTTTTAAAAAATAATTTATAGGTTAATTTTAACAATTATGATATCGCAGTTCGTGCAAAAAGATGTGTTCAAAAAGTGTAATAATAATAGTTTAAATGGCCTTAAACAAATATTAAGCAACTTATTATTTATTTTTCCACATAAATTAAAATTTTAAATAATTTCAATGATAAATATTTTTAAATTTATAACTACTTAATATTATTATTTTAATTTTAATTAATAATAATTTTACATTAATTTTTATAGCTTAGTTTAATTGTTTATAATTTTTAATTTATTGTAGGTCTTGACCGTACCCTTAAAAGGCAGTTCTTTAGACATCTGGTCATAGGTTATATTTCAATTTATGGTTTCTTTTAACATTTGGAAACACTTTGACTTTTGTTCGGAAAAAGTATTTTTTTGTTGAAAGGTTAAAGTTAACTGTTAAGATGGATAAAATTTGAACTGCCTTTTTCACGGCGCAATCTGTGAGCGATAAAAATGTTGTGTGAACGAATTGTATAAATAAAAGATTAATATTGAAAATAAACAAAAATTTTATTATTTATTACATAGTTATTGCATATCTTATAATAGTAAATTATTACAATTAAGTACCATGGAGAAACATTTTAAATTATTTCGTAAGTACATTTTTTTACAATTTTCCTAATTATAAATATACTTATATTAATAATAATATAAAAAATTAAAATAAATTAAAAATTTTAAGATAAGTAGAGCAGTAAATTAAAATTTATTCCTGCACTGAAAAGAAACTGTTTAATAAATTAAATGAAAGATAAATATTATTTTTCAAATGACATTTCAAAAGAGAAGTAAATAAAATAGTAAATAAAAATAAAAAAAATTCTAAAATATTAAAAATTCGTTGACTTTAATAATATATTTAATTTTACGAAAATTCACAACCTTGCAGTTCTCTAAATATTAAATAATATCACAGCCCCACAAAAAAAGAAAAGTACCCTGCGCGAAAGTCCACAGTACCATACCCCTATGTATTTTGATGCGCTGAACACGAATCCGAAGTCAGATTTGCTCCATCACGTCAGGATTTTTTTCTAACCTCAAAAAACATGTCAGATTTTATGTAATTTATGTAAAATACAAATTTTTTTAAAAATTGATTAGATTTGTTTCAAACTTGTTTCTCGGGGGTTTTTAAGATCGCTGATTACGAATCTGCAGTCAGTTTTTAAAAATTCAAAATGGCGGATCCAATATGGCGGACAAATTTAAAAAATTTGTTGGATTTTCACTTTACTTGGTATATAGGGGTTTTTTCGGGGTCGTTGATTACAAATTTGCAGTCAGATTTTAAAAATTTAATATGGCGGATCCAATATAGCGGTCATTTTCTTGAAAATTGATTTATTTTGCTTTAAAATGGGTACTCAATGGTTTTTCGGATCACTGATCACAAATTTCAAATCAGACTTTAAAAATTTCTAACAACTGGTCCAATATGACTTGATATGCAAGCATTTTGGGAGTCAGTGAATTTAAAAGTTTCGAAAAGTTTGTTGGTAAACATTTATGCAGCAGGAAATGCAGATTTTTGGTAACCTAAATGCCTAAATTAAAATGTGTTTATCGAGACGACATCTAGGACATTTCTAGAGAATTAGGCATAATTTCTGGATGAAGTTCAATTCAACAATTGCAGAATACTTTTCTCTTGGACGCAGGTCTGCTAGGACATAATACAGTATTGTATTTCCGTTGTGCTTTGGCACAATAATAATCCTGCTGCTTCGATAGATGTAGTAGGCGATGACAACTGCCCCGAAAGGGGATGTGTAGAATAATTTGCTTCCTGGCTATCGAAGTAACGAAGCTAGCAAAGGCGCGCTGCCTTGCAGGGGGACGTTAGGGTGTGAGGATGATACCGTAGTGTGTCCGACGACGAGTTGACAATGTCCTCGTCAAAGTCGGAAAGCCTCTCATACTTAGGCCTGGGGAGGTATGAGAGTTATCAAACGCTTCAAAAGTTCTTTTTGGAGTTTCAACCTCACAACATACATGTGACAGCAATGCAGATGTATTTTGTTACGTATGCGGACAATTTGATATCCCGAAAAATCGCAAATTAATTAATGAAAACATTAAACAAATTTACAAAGATTGTTTTGATTTTGAGATAGTCAAACAGAATGAAAAATGGGTTCCACATACAATCTGCAGTTCCTGCTACACAATGTTAACTCGTTGGAATGATATGAAAGAGAATAAACACCTGAATTTGTAAAAACCAACATTGTGGAAAAAACCATTGAATCGAGGAGATTGCTACTTTTGCATGACCAATGTAAAGGGCTATAATAAAAATAATAAAAAGAATATAATTTACGCATGTATAAAGAAGGCTTTACGCAAGAAGAACTTAGTAACCTCATCAGAGATTTGAAATTACCCAAAGATGGAGCAGAATATCTAGCTTCAGTTTAAAAAAAGGAAAATTTGTTATCTAAAGGCACCACAGCGTACTTTTATCGTGACAGAGAAAAGCAATTTTGTCTTTTTACAAAAGACGATGAGCTTTCATTAGTATATTGTTCTGACATTGAAGGACTAATAAATGAATTGAAACCAAACATATATGAAGATCAACATAAGACTAGACGTTATTCATTGACTCTTCTAAAAGAAGTCTAAAGGCAGTGCTAATTCATAACACTAATGTTTTTGCTTCAATTCCCGTAGCCCATTCCACTGAACTTAAAGAAGATTATGAAACTGTCAAATTAGTTTTGGAGAAAATTAAATATAAAGAACACAATTGGCAAATTTGTGGAGATTTTAAAATTATAAGTATCATGTTGGGCCAACAAGCAGGTTTTACGAAAACACCTTGCAACACCTTGCTCTTTATGTTTGTGGGACAGTAGAGATCGAAAAAAACATTACGTACAAAAAGAATGGCCTAAAAGAACATTCTTTACACCAGGTTCCAAAAATATTATAAAAAAACCTCTAGTTGAACCTACAAAGATAATTCCACCACCATTTCCGCCATATTGAATTTTTAAAATCTGACTGCAAATTTGTAATCAACGACCCCGAAAACCCCTATATACGAAGTAAAGTGAAAATCCAACAAATTTTTTAAATTTGTCCGCCATATTGGATCCGCCATTTTGAATTTTTAAAAACTGACTGCAGATTCGTAATCAGCGATCTTAAAAACCCCCGAGAAACAAGTTTGAGACAAATCTAATCAATTTTTAAAAAATTTTGTATTTTACATAAATTACATAAAATCTGACATGTTTTTTGAGGTTAGAAAAAAATCCTGACGTGATGGAGCAAATCTGATTTCGGATTCGTGTTCAGCGCATCAAAATACATAGGGGTATGGTACTGTGGACTTTCGGGCAGGGTAGTTTTCTTTTTTTGTGGGTCTGTGTATCATTTTTAGTGCCTACACTGCAAAAAGAAGTATCTTATTTAAGATGTTTTGGTAGTCATTTCTAAGATGTTATGGTAGTCACTTTTTAGTCATTTAAAATATCTTAATTTAAGATGTTAAAAGTATCTTCGTACACATTTTCTGTGTATTTTTGGGGCAAAAAGTTTTGAGGTTAACTATGGGCTTATATGTAAGACATTTTATGCATCTTAGTTTTTAGTAACTTAAATTTTTTTCGCATCTTTCAATTCACAAGTATCTTATTGCTAAACATCTTATTGAGACAGAAACATCTTAATTTAAGATACTTTAAAAAACTTACAGAAGTATCTTACTTTTTTAAGATAGAAGAAATATCTAAGACGTATAAAACATCTTAAAAATCAGTAAGATACTTTAGAAAACATCTTATTTTAAGATGTAAGATACCATTTTTCCATCTTACATCTTATTTTAAGATATCAAATAAGACACTTATTTTTGCAGTGTTTTTCTATCCAAAGACGTCGAACAGAATAAGTTTCTCGAAGTAATTGTTTTACATGTAATGATTCATCTGATGAGGAGCATTTCTTCAAAGCTGCCTCAGCTTCCACTACATCTTTTTTGGAATTTAATCCTTCAGATCTATTAACAAAATTATTTTAATTTCTAATCTAAAGATAATTTTAACTCAGAAAGTAATAAACAAATTGCATAAAACTTACTGTTTCGATACTTCACTTGAACCAGGTGTATGTGTAGTACTGCAAATTACTAAAGGATGTTTTTTGGAGGGTACAGCAGATTTCATTAAGGCTTGCTTCTTTTGATATCGCCTATTGCGAATAGAAGTAGCGATTTGAGTCTTTAGAATATCCTATGAGTGGAACAATTTCACAAAAGTTAAAATATCAGAATTAATAAGAGAGAGATAAATTAAATACTCATTTTATAAACATTAATACTCACGAAATTATTCTTCGTCTCCAAATGGGTTGACCAGAAATTAATAAAAAGTAATTGATTCTGATAAACTTGGTCTTCATTTTTTATTTTTTGCAGAGCAGGCGTTAAAACTGGTAGTTTTGCAGGATACCCAACATGTTTCCTACAATAATCTTTTGTAGTTAATGGATGTTTTACAATAGGTTTCTGCTCTGCACTGGAACTTGAGGCTTGTCCATTATTTTCATCAGTTACCTTAAAATGATACAAATAATATTTGACATAATAATAATAATAAGTTAAGTAATACAGCTATTCAGCTAAAAATAATAGTATAATTTATCAAATTGGAAATAGCTTTTTTGCAAAACAATTATCCAACAATTAATTTGTAAATAGTAGATAATTCGAAATTAAAAAATACAGCTGTTTTATTCTACTTTTGACTAGTTATATTCAAGTTTTAAGGTTAAATTTCCAATTTAAAAGCTATGTTTACTTACATGTTGTCTGCAATCTTTCAAAGTTGATGGATCCATGGATGATTTCTGCTGTGCATTCGAACTGGAGGGTTGTTCATTATTTTCATCAGTTGCCTTAAAATGATATAAGATTAAGATTAATTTATTATATATTATACTAATAGATTAATAATTTTTTTTTTGATGATTAAGAAAAGTAATAAATGAAAAACTTACCTGCTGCTCTGCTCTGGTATTCATAACTAATTTTTCGGGTGTACCATCGATAGATGCCATGTTTATTAAAACTATATTTAAGACACTATCGTGTTCCACCTCTTCGTCCGTTTCCACGTGGCACATTTCATTAATAATTTTGTTGTGTTTTTGTACAACAGGAATTTTACTTTTAAAAATTGCTTTTAAAGCCAAGTCAGTTTCGATTGCTTTTATTAAAGCGCGTCTTATTAATTCAACGTCAGAATGACCGACTTCAGGTGAATATTTTATTATTTTGCAACGACGCTCATCTCCACTTCCCATCGTACAGAACACCCTTTTTAAAGACATTTTTCAAATTATACTACCTGATGATCTGACACTATTAAATAATAATATTTTTTTCTTTCGACTGGTAGGTTAAATGCTGGCCAGTTTAACGTCTGTTACAGGGATGAGTAACTGCATCAGTAAAACGTTCGAATTGTGACAGGTCCTATATATGCGATGAAGTAGATTAAGGGTGTTTCTACAATAGCTCGAAAATGCATTTGTTATGTCTGATTGAATTAAATAAATAATCAAATCAATTTTTTATCTATTGTAGAAACACCTTTACAGATGAGTGTGAACGCAATTTAGACATTTAATTTTTTTACCGGCAGAGTCTTCTCATGCATTTACTATTAAGTTGAGTCCACAATCGAATAAATCGTCTCGATTTTTTTTATTGTGGACTCAGCCTAAAGGCCAACGCAGAATAAATCTTTAACCGGAACCGCAATCACAACCGTAATTCTATTCTGCGTTGGTCTTAACTCCAAAGCAGAATAAAACAGTAATTCCAGGTGGCCTGAATAATTCGAACGTAAGCATATGATAGAAAAGGAAAAAATATCTTGTCTTTTTTATAGTCCAACGCACAATAGGTTCGCGAAAGACGTTCGGGAACGAGTCGCATTAAAAGAAAAATTATGAAAATTATATTTCGTTTGTGTCATTGCGTCTTGTTCGCGTTCTATTTTGTTCAGGGCTTTAGGCTGCTTTACTTAACCCGAAAAACTTTCAGTGATTTATGAACTGCTGTGCTATATTTGAACATAACCAAATATGGAATCAGCATCAACAACAGCATCAAGGTAGTAAGATAGTATATAAGATGCTTAAAGTGTCTTCGACTTTAAAATGGCTTTATATGTAAGATATTTAAAGTATATTAGGCTTTCCTAACTTATCGTTCTCAAGTATCTTACGACTCACAAGTATCTTAGAAGGTAAATATCTTACGGTGTCTTTAATAACTTATATCAAGATACATAAAGTAACTACAGAAAGTATCTTAAATATTAAGACAGTATAAACATATTAATTCTTACGTAGATATGTAAAGTGTCTTAAATTTTTTAAGATACTTCGTTTAGCGCCTTATATTAAGATGGAAAACGGATATTTACTATCTTACATCTTAGAATAAGATACATTGTAAGATACTTCTTTTTGCAGTGTATCGGATGTAAATAATTATTATACACTAGACAAAAGAATCACAATTTACATATTGTAAAAATCACGAGCTTGAAATATTTTAAGAGAAAAATTCGTTGATTATTGATGATACAAAGGCAATTTGTCGATAATATTATTATCCATATTTTTAACTATTTTTTTAAGCTTAAAAAATTGTTTCTGTTATCGAATAACATTGACAATATTATTGCATTGTTTCATTATGTATAAAAGTTTTAGAATTCTATTTATATTACTATCTCTATATAATCTATTAATATAAACTAAGTAAGCGTTTGCATTGCATGGCTAAAAAAGCCTTTCTTTTAATTATCTTCGGTGCAAAAATTTCTAAAAAATAAAAAAAGAAATTTTAAGAGAAAAATTTCTTTTGCTCTCCTAACAATATTTAATTTATTCGTGATTAGGAATAGAAAGAATTTGCTGTTTTTAACTATCGTGAATTGGAGCCGGTGCTGTGTCCCAACTCATTGAGCGTTCGACTGCGGCTTTCCATTTTGAATAACGCAGATCTCGTTCTTAAAAAGTGAAAAATTTTTAGTTCATAGTTTTTAACAATAATATAAAATATAAAAAAATATAATTATAATATAAAATAAATAATAATAAAATTTCAAATTCAATTAAGTTTAAAGTAATATTAAATTAAATATGTATAAAAAAAATTATTTTTTTATATTTTACCGTCTTCTCCAATTTGAGGGGAGAATTTCGTAATTTGTGATGCATCGACATCAGTGATTTCTATGAGATTTGCTCCAATACCCGCCAATATTGCTGCACCCAAAGCTGTTGTTTCAAACATTTTTGGACGCACTGAAAAACGAAAAAAAATATACTTTATAATAATTTGTTATAGTCAGCAAAAATATATATCCCCACCTGTATTGTTTCACATTCGATATGAGCTGCAAACGTTTTTGCAACTCAGTCTTATTCCTGCCTTTAAAGTGTAATATTAAATATTATAATAAATTGTCACTCTCAGGAGTGTTGAAAAGTAAAGTGTGTCTATTTTATAAATTAGACCGTAACATTTTGGCGATCCTGCCAGGATAGCAACAAACGACGTAAAAATAATTCGTCAAACTGTGCTATCTTCGAGTGTGAACCTGTTTTTCTACGGAAAATATTATTGTTCAATCAAAGGAGGAAAGGCTCCGTGGATACTCTACGGATATCTTCGAGAAATTTGTTACGTGATATTGAGGTGTTTGAGCTTGTCGATCCAGACAATAAGACTCAGAAGAAGACGACTTCTGGAGGAATATCATCCAATTGGAGATCCAGGCAGATACGTCAGCCGCTTACTTGGGGTGTTCTGCAGCAGTGTCTACGGCCACTCTTTACACATCACCAGGGTCCAGAAGAAGCAGAAATACGTAAGATTTATTCAACGAATGAATCATATTTGATTTATGTTTGATTTATTAAATGGTAACTAGACTACGCGTGTTAGTAAGTCTTAGTTTCCTCAATAAAATAATACTATTTCTCTGATTAACCTTGTTGTAAGTGTGTAGCCACTTGAACAAGTGAAGAGAATTAAACACACAAATAATTATTGTTACGCGAAATATTCACTTACACCCGAAACAAAGTAATTTTTATACTAGCATATCACATTTATAGGGATTTTAAACACACAAACTATACATCTGACACAGACTCTGACTCGACTGACGAAAGTTTAAATATGGAGAACGAATCAAAAACCACCCTTAATCCACCTGGAACATCAACAACGCCAAATACGGAGCAGATTCTTTCATCAATTGTGGATCAACTTTCAAGATTAAATGTAGGAGTTACGAGTTTAGTTCATGAGAATAATAACAGGAAAGATGAGATAATAACATTAGGCAGAAAATTAGGGTTAAATCCTACGGAAGAAACAGATAACGAATCAGAAAATGCATCCCATAACGAAAGTCATTTCGGTGATAACGAATCGCAATCCGATGTTCAACAACAAGCAAATAGAATAAATAATCAAAAAATAATGCAAAATCAAAATTTAAGAAAAATTGCCGCTAAAGATATAATTAGAACTATTAAAACATTAACGGGACAAGATGATTGTGGAGTTGAAGATTTTATAAAAAACGTTAAAAGAGCAAAAGGACAATGTTACCAACCAGACCTATTATTAGATTTTATAATTTCTGAAAAAATTACCGGAAACGCAGAAAGAGCAATACGATACTTAGATTTAGACAGCTATGCAAAACTTTTCAATGCTTTACGTGCAAATTTAACGCAAATCGGTTCAGTGTCAATGCTTCGATCAAAATTATTAAATTGCAAACAAAACCTTACCGAAGATATTCAAAGTTTCAACAATAAATATAGAAAGATTTGTCATGAATTAAAATACGCAATTCAATCAGAATACACAAACACAATTAAACGACAAGTTGCAATAGAAAATGAAGAAAGTGAAATTTTAAAAAGATACATGATGAACATTCGTCGAGACATAGGATTACAGATAAAAGCTCAACGACCGCTAAATTTAAATGAAGCTCAAATGCAAGCATTGGAATTAGAATTATGGTTTCAAGAAAGTGATTATCAGAATTTGTCAAATAAAATAAATGCACCTGCAGTGCACGTTCCAACACAGATAAAGCAGGTATCATGTTACAAATGTGGAAAGACGGGACATATGACAAAAGAATGTACTACATCAGCAAATTTTCGCGACGGCAGGTTGCCGAAGAGACCACCGGAAGTTATCAGAGTGACACGCGAAGACCAAGAATTTTCAGACTTTCAGGTAATGACAGAGGAAGAAATGCAACACCACGAGCAATACGAAAAGAATGTCGAATATCAACCTTGTGTGGACGATTAAAATCTGTATACGGAAGAGCTGATAACGGAGAAGAATACAGATTATTAATAGACTCAGGAGCATCAATTAACGTAATAAAAGAACATAAAATACCCAGAAATAATTACACGACATTTAAAATAAAAAAGAATTTCTGTATGGGAAAAGATAAATACCAATCAGAATATGCTATTCATTTAAATTATTTCGGCAAACAACAATTATTTCATATTGTCGATGAAAATTTCCCTTTACCTGAGGATGGAATAATTGGATTACCATTTTTACAGAAATATGAAAAGTACGCTATTACTCCAAAATTCCTTATCATAGAAAAGTGGAAGACACCTTTACATGAAGATGGATATTTTGTAGAGCAAAATAAAATGCGGATTTGCAACATCGTAATGAATAAAGAAGATGGTGATATTTTAGTAGAAGGTCATTCAAATATTCCTACCGGACTTTATACAATACAAAACGGAATTATGAAGGCACCTGTTTATAATTATTCGAACCAACCATTGGAAGTGCCAAACAAAATTAAAGGAATACATATAGAAAAAATTGATTACGACATCACAAACCACAAAACGCTAAAGAATAAAACGATATTAAAACCTGAAGCACTGCCTGAACGATTAATTGATTTAAAAAATAAAGCAAGATTAGCTGATTTAGATAAAAATACAAAAGAAGATCTTTGGAGAATAATCGAAAATTATCACAGCAATTTTACCCTAGACAACGACGAAACTCCCTGTTCAAATTTGACTAGTAACAAAATTGTATTAAAAACTGGAAAAATAATCAATGACTTTAGAAAATTAAATGAGGATACGGATCAAGATGTTTACCCTTTGCCAGTGACTGAAGACGTTCTTTCACAGTTAGGAAAAGCAAAATTCTTTTCAGCATTCGACCTGTCTTCAGAATTTCACCAAATTCCGATGGAAAAAGAAAGTAAACAATATACAGGATTCAGCACAACTAGAGGACATTATCAATTTATCAGAATGCCAATTGGTTTAAATAATGCACCAGCCACATTTCAAAGAATGATGGACCACGCTTTTCAAGGATTAATTGGTGATGCATGTTTTGTACACTTAAATGATATTGTTATTTTCGGATCTACATTAGAGGAACATAATAAAAATTTAACCAAATTCATGGAAAGAGTAAAAACATTGGGATTAAAATTACAATCGGATATGTGTGAATACCTTCGGCCAGAATTGGAATATTTAGGACATATTATGACAGATAAAGGAGTAAAACCAAATCCTTTAAAAATACAAGCAATTCAAAAATTTAAACAACCAAAAAACGTGACAGAAATGCAATCATTTTTAGGACTAGTTGGATACTACAGAAAGTTTATTAAAAACTTTGCACATATAGCTAAACCACTATCAAGATTAACAGCGAAAGAAACTGATTTCGATTGGACAAAAGACTGTAGTAAAAGCTTTAAGTTATTAAAAGATTTGCTGTGTAAATCACCAGTATTAAAATATCCAGATTTTAGTAAAAGATTTGTTTTGACAACAGACGCCAGTAATGTAGGAATAGGAGCTGTACTTTATCAAGATGGACATCCTTGTTGCTATATTTCAAGACTATTAAATCAAGCAGAACAAAATTACAATACAGCAGAAAAGGAATTATTAGCAATCGTGTAGGCTACAAAAAGACTAAGACAATATTTATTGGGACGGACATTTACTATTCAGACAGATCATAAAGCACTAATTTGGTTACATAATTTAAAAGATCCTAGTTCAAAATTATTAAGATGGAGATTACGCTTAGAAGAGCTCGAATACGATATAGAATATGTTAAAGGAAAAGAGAATGAAGCAGCTGACTGCCTATCAAGATTATTTCCAATACAAGACGAGGACAGAGAAAAAGTCACATCAGCAGAAAGATCAGAAGACAATGAACTTAGTTCAACACAAGAAGAAGAAGACATGACACCCGATATACGGAGGTTTGATGACATTCCACAAACAAGCGATAATAAAAATGATATTATAACCGAACATTATGACGAACCAGATGTTTTAACACAAAATTTTGAAGTATGGAAAAAGAACAAAGAAACTGGAAATGTTACAATAAAACCTAACGTTCAAGGAACATTATGCAAAACAAGACTAACAAAAGATTTACCCCCATTCAAAAAAGAAAACAGGTTAAAATATTTTGAAAATCGAGTTAAAGAATTTATAGATAGAAAAATGATTTCACCAATTCTGAAGTACCCAAAATTAATCTATCAATGGAAAAAGAAGCACGAAAAATGGTTAATTAAAGCTACAGAGAAATAATACGACAAGACAGCATTTACGACAACAAATAATACTATTACATCATACACACTAGATTAACACAAGATTTTAAATGTAATACACTGTTAGAAAAAACCAAAATTGTATCTCTTAAGTATACACCTAAATTAAATAGAATAAACACAAAATGTAACCTACGATTTACCACTCGACATAAACTAAATTGACAATCACAAATTTGAATTAATTGTTTAAAACAGTTTGTAAATCTTTGAGTAAAAAAATTAGGACTAATATGTGTAACAATAAAATGAATAATGTTGACGTCGTTATATCCTACGAACGACAACCACATAGAAACTCAGAAGTACATATTAAACATTATTTAAATAAAAATGTAAAACTTAGGTTTTAGGGACTAAATCCTATCTAGCGAGAGGGATGTTATAGTCAGCAAAAATATATATCCCCACCTGTATTGTTTCACATTCGATATGAGCTGCAAACGTTTTTGCAACTCAGTCTTATTCCTGCCTTTAAAGTGTAATATTAAATATTATAATAAATTGTCACTCTCAGGAGTGTTGAAAAGTAAAGTGTGTCTATTTTATAAATTAGACTGTAACAAATTTAATGTTAACAACATTATTCTAATATATTGAAGAAAAATATTTGATTTATAATTTATTTTTAATTGAATTTTATTTTTATAGATTTCCTAAACACAGAATAATTATTTTTTTAAACTTTTTAATAATTTTTTAACTTGCAAAATTATCCTCATATTATTTTACATTATATTATAAGTAAATAATTAATACATAAGTTAAAATTAGTTTTTTTACTATACAAGTATTTTGTATTTTGTTTTCTAAAAAATTATTATTTAAAATGAGACCATTTAGTAAAATTATTAAAATTTTAAACAAAATTTAGAAGTTATTTAACTTGATCCTTTTTCAATTAATTTATATCCTAGCAATTATTTTAGTTTTACAAAATATGGAATTCTTTGTTTAAAAAGTTAAATATGTAAGGGAAGTGTTCCGGTTGTGGGCACCCTTTTGTTTTTGCCTCATAACATTTGTCCATGTGCATATTATACAAATATATGTGTACGAATTTAAAGCTAGAGGTCTAAGGTGACTGTCAGTGAAGGAATTAAATTGATTCCTTTAAATAAAAAAGTTTTATTAGAAATTTAGTGAAATGGGAATTTTTTGACAAAAAAAATTTTGTACCCGGTTGTGGGCACCCTTGAAAAATCCGCTAAAAATGGAAAAATATTAAAGGAAACCAACACAAATAAAGAAGAAATGAAAGTTTCTTTATTTTAAGAGAATTTGCTGGGATAAAGAACAAAAATGATGACACGTTTTCACACTATGCTCATAGCTAACAAAAGCATAATGCTTGCATGTGAAGTAGCTAGTACTCATAACATAACGCACTTCTAATGCACTGAACGACTATATTCATCGCATTTAATGGAGTTTGCGGCTGTCACTTTCCTTGGCAGAAAGTTTAGACAGATGAGACAGTAGTCCTCATCATTGTCAGATGGTAGAGCCTCCTTAACATAAAGGTGCCCACAACCGGGAATGACAGTCATTTTTTAAAAAGACCAACACATTTTGTGATGCAGGATTTTGGTTAAACACGAAGGTAAATCACAAAATATAATAACAACACTGCAAAAAAAAAATTAAACCCTTTTTTTCTGAACGAATCTACACCCATATGTTGCTCTTCGAAAACAATACAAAATTACTTTTTTATTTATTTAATGCAAATTTTCTTTATTATGCTCACAGCTATTACACAAATGCATATATTTGTTTCGTTATCAATACGAAAAGTCCGTATTGTCAACGAACACGACTTGCAATACTTAGATCAGTAAAGTCTGCTTGCCGTCGAAGTTTACGTAGGGGTGCCCACAACCGGAGGGTGCCCACAACCGGCGCACTTCCCCTAAGCATTTTTTGACTTTTTATATTCAATTAAAATTTTCATTAAAAAAATTATTTTTAAATTTAAAATGAAAGTCTGAAGTAACAATTTTTTCGAAATTTAATTTTCCTTGAACAACAAGAAAGTTTAACAGCAATATATATGTAGTAATTGAACAAAATTTATCGGATTCACTTGAAATTACATAATTTCTCATTTTATAAAAATTTAAAATTTAATTAAAATTTAAAATCCAATTTGTCGCGGACTTTTTTTTAATTTATCGGATTCAGTGATTTTTGGGCGAATTTGGCAAAGTTTCAAAATTATTAATTGCTATGTGGGATTCGCGCTCCGTGTGTTGTTGCGCGCTTCGCGCGCAAATGTCTCACTTCGCTCGCGGTGGTCTGCAATTATTGTGCATTATTATATTGTATTCTTGTTCTTGTTTCCTATTATATGTTTCATAAAACATTTTTTTTTCTTAAAGTTACTACGACTTTAAGGATTACATTCTCATCACATGTTTTTGTTTGCTGATGATTGCGAGATTAAGTGGATTGAAATGTTTATTTTTCGCTATTTTGAAATTTGCATTTAGGAAATCTGATGTCAAATTTGTAATTAGTATCAAAAATGGTTAAAATTTCTTTATATAATTTAAAGTTTTAAAATAATATAAATTGAAAATTTAATTCTAATTAGTTTTTTAGATGTGTCATAATAATTATTTGTATAAAAATTACTTAAATTGAAATGGCTTTAAATTGTTTAGAATAATCAGCTCGTTTTATAAAAAAATATGCTTTCTTTTCTACATTCTCCATCACATGAGAAAGAATTATTTTTTTAAACGTTTGTTAATAATGAGAAAAAAGAGTAATGCAATTTCATTTACGTATTTCATGTCAAGTGTTTCATTTTCACCTCCTCCGTGGAGCTATATATAGCTCCTTTTTTCTTAAGGGTTAGATTTTCTCAAGTGGACTTTAAATTTTCAAAAGTTGAAATTTATCAGTGTAAATGTGCAAAAAGATAGTTCTATTAGAGTTACGAATAACCTGTAAATTTTATTAAAAAATATTTAATTGTTTATTTTTTATAAACAATTGAAATTTTATTCATAACATTTTTAAAAAATGCATAACTTTGACAAAAATTGACGAAACTTGATGATTCTTTTTGCAAATTAACTATGAAATTCCAAACTTTATAAAAATAATGTTTACTCCATCGAAGCTCTTAATTTGTTATAAAAAATGATTGTAGGACAAAAGTTCCAATTTAAAAGTTCCAAACCAGAAATTCCAATCCAAAAGTTTATAACGGGGAAATTTATAGTTATGTATAATTTATTGAATTAAAACTATTGCATCGTTAACCCGAAATTCAAACCCTATGATCTCAGAACTCTAATTTACAAAGGACACAAAATTTAACAAAATCTCATTAAAGGGGGGAACTGCTGAGAATGAAAATCGCGATGCATCGATCTCCAGTGATAAATAAATTTAAAAACCTTCGTTGAATGAACTCGCCAACAACCAACGGCGTCTCCAAACTCCAACGGTCAATTCGAACACAATTAGCAAAGAAAATAATTTAAAGGTGAAAACACCAAATAAAATAGCAAAAATTATTCAAAAAGAAACTGATAATTTATTAAGAAATTAAAATAAAATATTAAAAATGGCAATAATTCAACTTTAAAATATCTTTGATTTTCGCACACACGAAATTACAAATTCAGACCAATTACAATTTCAAACTCAACCAGCTCGATTGATATCTGGGCGACGAGTGTTCCTCCGATCCGCGGCTTTTCAGGAAACCAGCAGCGAATTTGGGAAAACTCCTTCCTTATCACACCTCATGATTTTTCCTATGAATCCTTCCTTGTCGAATATCAACGATACCTATTAGAAAGAAGGGAAAGGGTCGCTAAAAGGCATGTGACATCTCCCTCTTATCAAACAGACGAGAAATCATTCAGGGAAGGGACACTAGGTGAGATAGACACAAGACGCTGACCAACGGACTATACCAAAATTGGGAAAAATGCGACGGAACGATAGAAAAGACGGAGACAAAGTCACTAACTATAGCACTGGACTCAGAACGAAAATTTGCCTATACAAGTAACGATTTACTTCGTTACAAGTTCCAATATGAAAAAGTCCCAATATACAAAATGTCCAATTTAAAAAAGTTCCAAAGTGAAAAAGTTCCAAAATAATAATTTCCAATATAAATAATTTCCAAATTTGAAAATATCAAAGTAAGCAAGTACCAAAGTAAGCTTTCTAGCTGCATTAAATTTTTCACAATTTCACTCCAAAGTTAGAAGCTTTGGCAAAAAAAAGTACAAAAAAATCAAATCTGAAGAACTTTTCTAAAAATTAATCAAATTCGTTTGACACTCGTTACTTTGGAGTCGTTTTTCTCGAAATCTTTTTTTCGGACCGTAGGTCCTTTTAACTTTCCCTGGCACATATTTTGAAATAAATATAAAAATTTAATACATATAAATAAATAATGCAAATAATAAAAAGATATTACAAAATCGAAAATCACATAAGAAACAGAAGAAAATTAAAAATTAAAAGGTTAAATTAAATTAAGAAAATTAAAAGGTTATATTATAGCAACATGTAAACAAAATATTTAAATGCAGTGAATACAGTATAAAAAAGTTTTTAAACTCGTAGTTTGAATTTTACAAAAAATGTTGGACATTTTTATATTTGGAAATAAAAATAATTGGAACTTTTGGCTTTTGGAAGAAAGAATTATTGGAACTTTTGGACTTTGGAACAAAGAATCATTGGAACTTTTTTTTGAACTTTTGTCCTCCAACCTAAAAAATAATTATTTATTATAAACAAATTAAAAATAGAACGTGTTCTGGATAACCATTTTCAATTTTATAAATAAGAACTTTAAGAGAATTTATTAAGGATTACATATCAAAAAGAAAAAATTGTTTCAAGCAAATATTTTATTAATTATGAATTTTTTGTAAGCGCGCGCAAGCTCCGTGATGTGAGTTTTCGCGTCTGACGAATGTCGTGTGCCCCGCTTTGCACGCTTTAACTTGTTTATTTTAAAAGGTTTTCTTTCATAATTTTTTTCAAATTTGGTTTGTATGTTTTGAACTAAAATTCAATTGGAATACTTGTTTATAATAAAATTAGTAATATATTATTTTATTTATATTTATTTATGTAATCTATTTTAAGTTTATATTGTTTAATTGTTTTCAGTTGAATATTTCTTGCTTCCAGAAAAACAAGTTTTAACTAATTTTTTTGTATTATATAATTTAAAAATATTTTTAATTTACTTGTAAACTTCCGTACCTATTAAAATTAAAAAGTAGTAATACAATATATTTTACTACTAAACAGATAAAAAATTTTTATGAGTGTTTTAATGCAATCTGCTCGGTAAGCATAATGTGGTAAAATTTTGTTCAAAACTACGTGAAGGTAAAAAAAATTTTACTCAAACTGAAAGGATTTTTATAATCCAGGTGATTGGATCTCAATCTATTTAATGTCACTATGTACCTTCTAGGCACTTCCAGACCCTGGAACCAAGGTTTCTTTGTTTTAATGGTAATGTTTGAAAAATATCTATTCCGAGAGGGTTGTTCTCCATAAAAGGGCCAGAGAACCCTTTTCCAATTTTGAAAGTCGTAATTCGTTAAAGGGATTAAATCTGCAATAGGGTAGGCCAAGGATCTGCCGAATGGGAGCTCAGCAGATTTTTTTGCCCAATTGTCGGCCATTTCATTACCCAGGATCCCACAGTGTAATGGAATCCATAAGAAATTAATTGTAAAATTTCTAGATATAAGGGTTGATAACTGTTTGATTATTTTAATTGAGATTGGATGCAGGTTCTTCATGCAGAAAAGATTCCTAAGATTCATTAAGTAGGATCTGGAATCTGACAAAATTAAGATGTTGTCAAAATCCATATCAGAAGCGTACTTCAAAGCGGAATTAATTGCATAGAGCTCACATGTTTCTATTGTTGTAATTCGACCCAAACTAACACCAAAATTAACATTAGTGGCAGGTACAACAAAGCTTGCACCTGACACATATTTCACAGGGTCTTTAGATCCGCCAGTGAAGATCTGTAAACTATCCGGGAAACGAGTTTGTATTACATTATTAAGTGCATGAGAGGGCTGTTGACTATCTTTAATTTCAGATCCCGAATCAGTATCTATTATAATTTTGAAGGGAATGTTTAGGTCATCCCAGGATAGGTCAAAGTATTGTAGCTTTTTGGTGCGTAATTTTTTGTCTGTAAGTTGGTTGTCCTTTACTAAAAAGCCCCGCCATCACGGCAAGGTCTACCAAACATATCCATGATGTCAGTCATGTCTGGAAGTGGATAAGCATCCACTAAACATAGCACATCGAAGACAATGAAGAACACAATTCATCTTTTAACTTGACAGCGGTTTTTTTATTTATTCTTTTTTATTTAAAAAGAGAATAATTTACAATTTTATATGGCGAAAGAAAAAAAACGGTAGGCTATTTTTGTAATGCAGATTCACTTTTTTGAGTATCCGAAGCGGCAACAATTTAAAATATATTTATTCACATTCAATTTTAAAACATTTATTTAAATAAAATATAATGTAAAATTATATTTATATATATATATATAAAATTACCGTAATTTCCATGGACATGTTATCACAACTTAAATTATAGAGAATTTAAGAACACTACTCCTGGTTCGTCAATTTGCACCCTGAAATACTGGAAGTCCAGGATGTCCCACATCTTCTCTTTGACCCTAAGGTCCTTGAGGGCCAGGATTTCGCTTTTCTTCTTTTAGAAATACAGGTCCAAAAAGATCATCATTTCCTGGTTCTCCTTTTTGTCCCTTATGACCAGGATATCCGTCTTCTCCTCTTTGTCCTTTAACACCTTTATATCCAGAAAATCCAGGATATCCTCGAGGACCAGAAATTCCAGGAACTCCAGGTTCTCCTTTTAATCCTTCAAATGAATATGGGCAGCAGCAATCTAATTCATTTTTCTTTTCTGTAAATTAATATTTTTTATGACTCTTTCCTAAATACTGAATTTAAAAAAAATCAAATGAGAAGAAAAAAATTAAATTCTATTCCTAAATTTGATTCTGTATACGTATACGTTATTTGTATTTTTCAATTTTTTTCTTTTTTTGTTACATACCCCTCAAAATATTGGTACAAATTTGTTGAATTCGTTCTTCTTCATCATCAACTGCTATTGTTAATTGTATTGCGACAAAAGTGAGAATCGCGAATAAGAAATATTTTCCGTTCCTAAAAAGAAATTGTATTTATTTAAATTTCCGTTGTTTTTAAAATGAACAAAGCATGCGATTCAAAAGGACAAAAGTGTTTGAATTTGAAATTTTGAAAAAATTCAATTCTAAATCAATTTAATTAGAAATTTTAAAAAAAACCTAAACTTAAAAAAAATTTAATAACTAAAATTCAATTATTTTCAAAAATTTTAATAAAATTCTTAACAAAATTTTAATTATTTTCAATAACTATTCAATTAGTTAAAAAAAATTCAATAAATTTTAACCCTCATGATTTCTCGAAGACAGAAAGTGAAAAGAATGTTCTTTCAAGTCAATTATCAATATAAACTTCTTAATTATTAAATGAAAAAGTATTTGATAATTATTATGCAGAATAAAGAATTCTTTTTTTGTAAATTAAATTATAAATTTTTAGTTCAATTATAGACATTTTTTATTTGATGAAACTTACTTGAAGTCCATGTTGTCAGTCTCCTGAATTTAACACTTTAGAAATTGTTAATAAAAATACTCTAATTTCTAATTTTTATTTTACTGATTCAAACACAGTGTCTCGTCGAAAGAGAGGGGATGGAAGTCATTGGGTATCGCTCCAGGGTCTGAAGCTGCTTTTATACAGTATTTTTGTCAAGCGAATCGACTGAATTAATTTTCATTGCCAGATCGCGAAATTTGATTGGTTTCGGATAGTTTTTTTATTTCCACATAAATTTAAAGTGTCAATAGAATTTTTATCGAAGCCAATCAAATTTAACCACTAGATCGAGAAAATTTACTCAGTCAATTGTTGCATCAGAAAAACACAAGTGCGTCGCCAAATTCTAGTGTTTTGCTGATGCAATAATTGACTGAATGAATTTTCACATTTGAGTGCGGCTAAATTTAATTGGCTTAGATCAACATTCTATTGACAGTTTAAATTTTTGAAACGAAAATACCGCAGGTATAAAAGCTCCTTCGACACCGAACATTGTGTTTGAGTCAGTAGAATAAAAATTATAAAACAAACCAAGTATTTTTATTAATTACTTCTTTGTTACCAAAACCAGGCGACTGACAACATGATGCACTTGAAGTAAGTTTAACGACAACAAAATTTTTTTAACAACAAAAATCTTCATAATAATTATTAAATTCACTTTCATTTGATAATTAAGGAGAGTATTTATATATTGATAATTGACTAGAAAAAGCATTCTCTTGACTTGCGGCGTTAAAGAAGGAGAAAGCAGATAGAAGAGAACAGAAGACTCCTTTGTCCTTTTCTATCACATGCTTTGTTAATTTTAAAAATTAAATAAATGCAATTTCTCTTCAGGAGCGGAAAATATTTCTTATTCGCGATTCTCACCTTTGTCGCAATACAATTAACAACAGCAGTTGTTGATGAAGACCGAATTCAACGAATTTGTACCGATGTTTGGAGAGGTAAGTAACAAAAGAAGAGAAGAAGAAAATTGCAATAATTACAAATAATAAATTTTTGTTGAAAAACATAATAAAATTGAGAAATAAAATTAAATTTTGTTTATTAAATTTCACATATAATTTGCCAAATTCAGTATTTAGGAAAGAATCACTATAGAAATATTAATTTACAGAAAATAAGCTAGAATTGGAAGTTTGCTACTGCCCACCTGTACAGCGGCCAACGCGCGGAGAAACTGGACCTAATGGTCCTAGAGGAATAACAGGAAAACCTGGAAGTGAAGGTGGTCCAGGAGAGAAAGGAGAATCCGGATCTCCTGGCCTTGTGGGACAAAAAGGAGAAGTAGGAGATGATGGTCTTCTGGGACTTCGTCTTCTGAAAGGAGATAGAGGAGATCCTGATCTTCAAGGACCTCAGGGTCAAAAAGGGTAAAGGGGACATCGAGGTTAATCAGGATTACCTGGTCCAAAAGGCGAACAAGGAAATTCTTTATACAATTAAAAAAAATAAAATCAGAATAATAAAAGAGATTTACATAATTTTTATCTTTTCTTGAATTTTCCTTACATCCTCAATTTCGGATTCAGAAGCAAGAAAATTTTTTATTGTACAATAATCCGCCATGTATGTAAACGAAAAAATATTTTTAGTTCTTTGCGAAAATTTTGAAATCCATTTGTTTACAAGGTTTACAATATTCAATTAATTGTACGTTAAATTCGATCATTTGGAAAAATTCTTCTATATATATTAGAAAATATCATGAAGTATTTTGAAAAAAAATTTAAATTAAAGTTATTGAAAAAAAACCACTTCCGACAGAATTTTGATGCAGGGTGTCTACTAACTGGGAAATAGTCGGAAATTTAATTTGACCGGAAATATAGCAGGAATTTTATGCCAAACCGGGAATTTTGTCACCAAATTAAAAAAAGTTTTATTATTTTAATTCGTGTTTTAAAAAAACCGCTTTCTATTTCAATTTTTATTCATAAATACTCTTCTCTAAATTTCAATTAGTTAAAAATAATTAATTTGATAGTAAAAAAGCGGTCAATGATTCAAATATAGTATGTAAATAAATTTTTAAAAAATTATCCAATTAATAGAAATTTTGTGAAATTCACTTTTAAAAACATTAAATTTGTTAATGAATTCCATTAAAAAATTTTTAAAAAATCGAATTTTTAAAATATTTTAATTTATTTTTAATGCAATTTTTTCATTTTGTAAAGAATTCAATGGTCATAAAATAAAATCCTTTTTTAATTATTATTTTTCTTAAAAGTTGATGGATTTTGAAATCCATGCATAATTTTGAAGAAAATATATTTTTGATTCTATAAAAAAATTACCAAATGAAAAAATTAATTTTCATAATTTTTAAAGCATTTTTTTTGAAGGAAATCTTTGTTTTTAGCGTTTGTAGACTGAAAATGGTAAAAAATAACATTGTTATTCAATTTTTTAATTACATTTTTTTAAAAATCTAATTTATTTCAAAATTTCTAAAGAAAATTTGTCAAAATTCACTAATTTCTGTTAGAGGAATTTGAACAATTATGACGTCTCAGTTTGTGCAAAGCATGTGTTTTAAAAATGCGACTTTAAAATAGTTCAAATGGCCTTAAACAATAAATATTAAAAATATAATTATTGAGGCATTTCACGTCAGAAATATCACGATTTGTAAAGGGTATGCCCATTTTCGCAAAACTTCGTGGGATTATAGTTCTATATAAAAGACTTCTTTCCCCTAAATTTTTTCAAAAAAAAATTCAAAATTGTTGAAGATACGCTATTTTGAATTTTAATATTAATTTTATAAAATTTTGAATTTCTCGAAATATTGTTTATGGATTTTTATGAAATTTACACATTTTTGAGGTAAAAGTATATACTTTATAATGCAAATAAAGTTAATAAAAAAAAATTAATTTTTAATTAAAAAAATTTAGAAAAATTTTTTAAACAATTTTTTGTTTATTTACTCCTCTCTGAGAAAAATGTTATTAACATATTTGGATTCCTTGTGAATTCACCTTTAATTTCATAAAAAAAAATTGATGGAGACTCAACTGGTTCCGGAGATATTTAATTTTTTGTAAACAATAGTCATAGTTACAGCAGCAATGCACGACTGCGGTAACGTACTAAGCGACTTGTGCAATTCGGTGCTATGGCGCGGCGACGCTTTTTTTTACAAAAAATTCAATATCTCCGGAACCAGTTGAGTCTCCATCAATTTTTTTTATGAAATTGAAGGTGAATTCATAAGGAATCCAAATATGTTAATAACATTTTTCTCAGAGAGAAGTAAATAAACAAAAAATTGTTTTAAAAAATTTTTTTTAATTTTTTTATTTAAAAATTAATTTTTTTTTATTAACTTTATTTGCATTCTAAAGTACATACTTTTACCTGAAAAATGTGTAAATTTCATAAAAATCCATAAACAATATTTCGAGATATTTAAAATTTTATAAAATTAATATTAAAATTCAAAATGGCGTATCTTCAACAATTTTGAATTTTTTTTGAAAAAATTTGGGGGAAAGAAGTCTCTTATATAGGACTATAATCCCACAAAGTTTTGCGAAAATCGGCAGACCCTTTGCAAATCGTGATATTTCTGACGTGAAATGCCTTTATTATTTAATTTTCTACATTAATTAAAACTTCAAATTGGAGTGTATAACTATTTCTAAAAATAACAATTCTTTCAATTTTGTTTTTAGTTTTTAAATAAATTATTCAAAACTTTTACTAATATTTACAGAAAAAAATATATTAATAATTTTTGAAAGTAAACATTCAAATATTTGTCTTCTTTTACGCATCGATTAAAATTTTCCAAGAAATCACTTTAAAAATAAATGTTGTTTAAATATTTCCTAAAATTCCTATTAACGCTTTAAATAATCAATTATTTTTCTAAAATTTTAACTAAACTTTTTTATAATAATATAATATAATATAAAAAAATTATTAGTGGAGACTGGGGCGAAAAGTTAAACTGCCAAAACAGTTAAAATTCATTATCTTTCGAACGGAAATAGTTAGAGCATTGCAATTTTAATTATAGAAGGGTGTTATCACCCTAATTAAATGTCCGGAGTTATGTTACATTCTGCTAATATTTGTGGTGTCGATATTTAAAATTTTTTTCACCCTACTTTTGAAAATTTTTTCGTAAAAGATAATATCAACTTTTAAGTATTTTTTTTGCATTTATTCTCACCGCGATTTATTTATTTCATTACTTGGGTCCCCTGAAAAGATACCTCAAGGTATTTGCTAAATATCTTTAGTCGCAGATTTTTTATATTTGTTGTTAAAGCCAAAAACGCACCCTGGGGCGAAAAGTTAAATGTATTTTTACATGATGTTAAAATTGTTTTTTATTTTTCGTTCTTTTGGGTTTATTTGTTTAAAAATTATTTATTTGACATTAGGCAAGTACTCTGTCAAAAAACAAGACCGTTCACGTGAAATAAACCAAAATTTTTTTTTCTTTTTTTTGAAATTTTCTTTTTTTAACTTTATAACTGTTCTACAGCTTTTGTTAAATAAACACAGATCTTTTATTAACTAAATTACTTGTTTTTATATACTTTAACTCATATACTCCTTTAACACCTATCAGAAAACAGTTTTAGTAGGCTAAAAATAGAATTTAACATTTTGCCCCAGCCAAAAAAAAAAATTCAAAAAAGGACAAATCCTGTATTTTAAGCTAAAATTTCACAAACTTTATTATTGAAAGTTGTAGGGGAGAAGTTGCCCTACAATATTGATATATAAATATTTGTATCTAAGCGGATTATATTGTCTAAAAAATTATTTATGCAAAAATTAACTTTTCGCCCCAGTCTCCCCTACATATAATATTATAAAAATTTCAAAAATAGTGAAATTTTATGAGAGTTATGTTTATAACTTTTTTAAATAATTGAATTTCAAAATGTTTTGATTTGAAATTTTTTATGAATTTATTAGAAATTTTTAAAAACTTGAATTTTTGAATTATAATTCAGATTCCTGCTGAATTACTTACAAGTTAATTTTTTCATACACATTTAGTTAATAATTTAAAATGATTGAATTAGAAAAAAATTTTAGTTAAAAATTTTAGAGAACAATTTTTGAGAAATTACAAATAAATAGGAATTTAATAAAATTGAATTTTTGTTTAATTATTTCTTAAAATAATTATTACGCTTCAAATATAACTATTTTCTAAAATTTTAACTGAATTTTTTTTATAATAATCAATTTTACTCTTAAGTAATTTAATTCTTGAAGAACTTTAAAAAAAATAATAACATATAATTTAGAATATTTAAATACAAAAACTTCAAAAATATATTTTAATTTTATAAGAGTTGTGTTTATAATTTTTTTAATACCTAATTATATTTCAAAAGGTTTAAAATTTGTGATTGCAAATAAAAAGGAATTTTGTTAGAATTAAATTTTGAAAAAGTTTCAAATTCTAATCTTTGAAAATCCCATTTTATACTTTTAATTAATAATTTTGTCGCGAACTAATATTTTCGAAAATAATTATAATTAAAAATTTGATTAATTCAATTTTATTAAAATGTATTGATACCAATTGAATTTCTGCAAAGAATTTTACTATTTCTAAAAGTAATTGAATCCTTCCAAAGAATGTTATTATTTATGAAAATAATTGAATTCTTGAGAAGAATTTTAATAAAAATGTTTAAGTTAATAAGCAATAATAATTAATTATGTACTTAATAAGTAATGAAAATTTAACTTGCTCAAGAAATAAATAAATACCAATTATTTGAATATTCAGAAATTTAATATTATAAAAATTTAAGAGAAGTCCAATAATTATAATTATTGAATAATAATATTGTATTATAACTTTTAGAAGCAAAAAATTAATTTAAAACTTTAAGAGGGACTTTATATTTTTAAAAAAATTATAATTAAGGTGACTAACTTCCCTTGATTATTTTCGAAAAATTTAAATAATATTCTTTAAAAGAATTTATTTTTTTTAATAGAATGTAAAGAAACTTCAATTGTTTCAAATATTTTCAACTATTTGTTAATAAAAATTCAATTATCTTGGAACAATAGAATTGAATAATTTCAACAATCTTATTTTTCAGAATTTGAAAGAAAAATTTTCGAAAATTCAATTTTATTAAAAAAATTTTAGTGTGTATCTTTTTTGAAATTAACTAATAAAAATTTCAATCATTAATCTTAACACTAAGAAACATGAATAAATTAGAATGACCTCTTTATAAAATTTAATTATTTATCAATTATTAAATTAAAATATTTTAAAAATTCGATATTTTAAAAATTTTTTAATGGAATTCATTAACAAATTTAATGTTTTTAAAAGTGAATTTCACAAAATTTCTATTAATTGGATAATTTTTTAAAAATTTATTTACATACTATATTTGAATCATTGACCGCTTTTTTACTATCAAATTAATTATTTTTAACTAATTGAAATTTAGAGAAGAGTATTTATGAATAAAAATTGAAATAGAAAGCGGTTTTTTTAAAACACGAATTAAAATAATAAAACTTTTTTTAATTTGGTGACAAAATTCCCGGTTTGGCATAAAATTCCTGCTATATTTCCGGTCAAATTAAATTTCCGACTATTTCCCAGTTAGTAGACACCCTGCATCAAAATTCTGTCGGAAGTGGTTTTTTTTCAATAACTTTAATTTAAATTTTTTTTCAAAATACTTCATGATATTTTCTAATATATATAGAAGAATTTTTCCAAATGATCGAATTTAACGTACAATTAATTGAATATTGTAAACCTTGTAAACAAATGGATTTCAAAATTTTCGCAAAGAACTAAAAATATTTTTTCGTTTACATACATGGCGGATTATTGTACAATAAAAAATTTTCTTGCTTCTGAATCCGAAATTGAGGATGTAAGGAAAATTCAAGAAAAGATAAAAATTATGTAAATCTCTTTTATTATTCTGATTTTATTTTTTTTAATTGTATAAAGAATTTCCTTGTTCGCCTTTTGGACCAGGTAATCCTGATTAACCTCGATGTCCCCTTTACCCTTTTTGACCCTGAGGTCCTTGAAGATCAGGATCTCCTCTATCTCCTTTCAGAAGACGAAGTCCCAGAAGACCATCATCTCCTACTTCTCCTTTTTGTCCCACAAGGCCAGGAGATCCGGATTCTCCTTTCTCTCCTGGACCACCTTCACTTCCAGGTTTTCCTGTTATTCCTCTAGGACCATTAGGTCCAGTTTCTCCGCGCGTTGGCCGCTGTACAGGTGGGCAGTAGCAAACTTCCAATTCTAGCTTATTTTCTGTAAATTAATATTTCTATAGTGATTCTTTCCTAAATACTGAATTTGGCAAATTATATGTGAAATTTAATAAACAAAATTTAATTTTATTTCTCAATTTTATTATGTTTTTCAACAAAAATTTATTATTTGTAATTATTGCAATTTTCTTCTTCTCTTCTTTTGTTACTTACCTCTCCAAACATCGGTACAAATTCGTTGAATTCGGTCTTCATCAACAACTGCTGTTGTTAATTGTATTGCGACAAAGGTGAGAATCGCGAATAAGAAATATTTTCCGCTCCTGAAGAGAAATTGCATTTATTTAATTTTTAAAATTAACAAAGCATGTGATAGAAAAGGACAAAGGAGTCTTCTGTTCTCTTCTATCTGCTTTCTCCTTCTTTAACGCCGCAAGTCAAGAGAATGCTTTTTCTAGTCAATTATCAATATATAAATACTCTCCTTAATTATCAAATGAAAGTGAATTTAATAATTATTATGAAGATTTTTGTTGTTAAAAAAATTTTGTTGTCGTTAAACTTACTTCAAGTGCATCATGTTGTCAGTCGCCTGGTTTTGGTAACAAAGAAGTAATTAATAAAAATACTTGGTTTGTTTTATAATTTTTATTCTACTGACTCAAACACAATGTTCGGTGTCGAAGGAGCTTTTATACCTGCGGTATTTTCGTTTCAAAAATTTAAACTGTCAATAGAATGTTGATCTAAGCCAATTAAATTTAGCCGCACTCAAATGTGAAAATTCATTCAGTCAATTATTGCATCAGCAAAACACTAGAATTTGGCGACGCACTTGTGTTTTTCTGATGCAACAATTGACTGAGTAAATTTTCTCGATCTAGTGGTTAAATTTGATTGGCTTCGATAAAAATTCTATTGACACTTTAAATTTATGTGGAAATAAAAAAACTATCCGAAACCAATCAAATTTCGCGATCTGGCAATGAAAATTAATTCAGTCGATTCGCTTGACAAAAATACTGTATAAAAGCAGCTTCAGACCCTGGAGCGATACCCAATGACTTCCACCCCCTCTCTTTCGACGAGACACTGTGTTTAAATCAGTAAAATAAAAATTAGAAATTAGAGTATTTTTATTAACAATTTCTAAAGTGTTAAATTCAGGAGACTGACAACATGGACTTCAAGTAAGTTGCATCAAATAAAAAATGTCTATAATTGAACTAAAAATTTATAATTTAATTTACGAAAAAAGAATTCTTTATTCTGCATAATAATTATCAAATACTTTTTCATTTAATAATTAAGAAGTTTATATTGATAATTGACTTGAAAGAACATTCTTTTCACTTTCTTCATTAAAGAAGCCCCCAGAATACAGAAAAGAACAGAAGATACTTTTGTCCTTTTTCTATCACATGCTTTGTTAATTTAATAAAAGCAAAGGAAAATTAATAAATATATTTCTATTTTCAGACACGGAAAATATTTCTTATTCGCGATTTTCGCCTTTGTCGCAATACAATTAACAACAGCAATTGATGATGACCGAATTCGAGAAATTTGTACCAATGTTTTGAAGGGTAAGTTATCAAATAAGGAATATTGAAAGTCAAATTCAGGACCCACGTAGCACCGAAACTTTCCTAAACAAGTTGTAAATCCAGATGTTCATTACATGAACATTTTGCTTCCTCTTTACGATCAGCAAAAAAAATTTGCTTCCTCGTGAAGGAAGCATTAACGATAAATATATTTCATTTTTAAATCATTTTTAATACAATTTAACATTTATAAAATAAAGTTCATTTGTCTTAATAGAAAGAATAAAATTTTGTTATACAGTAATATAAATCTAAATAAACAAAGAAATTTTTAGTTAAAAAGTGAATTTTTCAACTTTAATTGTAATTAATTCTATAATTTTCAATAGAATATATACTTTATATACATCAATCGATTCGTCTTGATGCAAAGAATAAGATTTTTGATTTATTTTTTTTATAAATAATAACATTCTATTGTACAGCAACATGATTTTTAAGAAAAAATGAATTTTTATTAAAAGTGCAAATTTTTTGTCTATAATTGGTTTTAATTCTATTAACTTCAATAAACAACTTAAAAAAATTTTTTTGAAAAAAAAAATTTTTTAGAAAAAAGTCAAAAAAAAATTTTTTTTTGAGAATTTTTTAAAGTCTATCAATCCATTTCGAGATATTTTTATGATAAATATACCTGGTAAATTTTAGCCAAATTCGTTAAAACCTCTTCGAGTTATCGTGTTCACAAAAATCGGGATCCACACACACACACACACACATACACACATATTATACATACATCCGGACAATTGTTCAGGGTCTTATATAACATAGTCCCATATAGAAGAAAATTTGTTAAAAGGATTTTTAAAAATTTTGTAAATTAAACGACTACAAAGCTTCCTCACGAGGAAGCAAAATTTATTAAATATTTACTTCACGGTTGCCACAGATCAGGGGAATCAGGGAATTCAGGGAAAAGTCAGAAATTTTTAGTAAAAGAACTGGAAAAAATTAAATCTTTAAAATTCATGAAAAAACTGAATTTTGATGTTTCTTGTTTGCCTCATAAACTATGAAATTACTATACGAATTCTAATATAAACCTTCAATTATTTCTATTTCTGACAATAATATATTTTTAAATTATTTAATTTTTCAAGAACTATTATAAAATATTATGACTTATAAATTTTTTCGAAATAATTCAATTATTTTTATAAGTTATAAAATTTCCACAGGAATTTAAATATTTAAAATTCAAAATTACAAAAAAACATGAAGTAGTCGATCACTCCGAGTCGAAGACTTGGAGTGATCGATATCTTCATGTTTTGTAATAAAATTCTTAAAATTTATTGACTTTGAATGTTTTGAAGAATTTTAATTCCAACAGCACAATAATAATAATTAAATATTTATTTAAAAAAGAAGTTACTGATGTTTTCGAATAATTTTACAATTCGAGAAATTTGTAAATAAATGTAATATGGAACATTTTTTTAAATATCAAATAATTTTTAGTGTGAATTTTAAATTAAATTAATTAAATATTAATTTTCAGAAAAGAAGCATGAATTCCAATGCCGCTGCCTACCTCAAGAACCACTAATAAAAGGAGTAATTGGACTTCCTGGAATGGTTGGTATTCGAGGATTTCCTGGAACATCTGGAATTAATGGTGTTGACGGACAAAAGGGAGAAGCCGGAACTCCTGGTCCTAGAGGACAAAAAGGAGAACCAGGAAAAGATGGTCATTTTGGACCTCTGTGTGAAAAAGGAGAGAAGGGAAATAAATGTTTTAAAATTGTATATGAATAATTATATTTAAATTTAAGGACAAAAGAGAATTTATATATATATATATATATATATATATATATATATATATATAATTGTTTTTGTATTTTTGTCTTCAATGCTTTTAAAATATTTCCATACTGCACTCTTTGCTTTTGTTAGTTTTTAAATTTCTAAATATATATAGACACTACAATAAACAAAATAACAACTACTAAATAAAAACATAACGCCGGAGTGACAATCGCTTTTTACCAAAGTGCCCTCAAAGTGTAAAATGATAAAAATGATAAAATTGTAAAGTATTCTTTTTTAAATCAAAACAAAAATAAATAAAAAAAAGAATAAGAAAATAAATTTAATTGTGTTTTATGTTTACTTGAATTTTCCCTAAATCCTCAATTTTAGAATTAGAAACAAAACCAAAAAATATTTGAATTTTTATTTTTAAAACTATTAACCCTTTAACTACGGACCGGGCGCTTTTTTCAAGCATTTTTAGACATTTTTGATTCAAAAATTAATTTTTTTCATGTAACCAGTAACCAGAAAAATTTTTCACTATAAAATATCCCCGATTAGCTATAGTTTCAAATAAATCCGATCAATTTAAAAAAATACCGACCGCCATATTGGATCCGACATTTTGAATTTTTGAAATCTGAGTTCATATTCGTAATCAGCGACCGAAAATACATTCAGGTACTCCTTTTCATATAGATAAAGGAAGAGTTAAACAAAGCGTCCACAAGGTGTCAATTTTGTGAAAAAATTCTTTTGTCGCCGTTTTGGATCGGCCATCTTGAAATTTTTAAATGTCTGGTCCATTACTTTGAAGCTTGAATATTTTGGACATGATATTTTATAGTGAAGAATTTTTCTCGTTACTGGTTACATGAAAAAAAATCATTTTTGAATTAAAAATTTCTGTACACAAGACAAGTTTTGTTTTAAAAACAAAGTTTTGTTAACTTTAAAATAAATGTTTTTCTTACTATTGTGTAGGATGATGATAAATAATAAAAATAATAAGTTTATAACTTAACAAACACAAAGCAATTTTAATTAAAATAGAAAATCACTCAAATATATACCCAGATAACCAGCATACTAGTACGATGCATAAACAATACGACTATGGCGTATTAGTCGTACTGGTACTGTACTCGCCATCTACCTTCGCACGGTAACAGCTACTGTACTAGTATGTCGTACCAGTATGCTTATGCTCGTATAATACGAGTACGATAATAGTATGGTGTACTAAAGGTTTTTGTAATTTAGTTTATCGTACGGTTACTGTATTCGTACTATACTAGTAGCGCGTGTAAAGCCTTTTATATCCCTCCCCCTCTTGTGCTTTAGTCTGTATTAAGTATTAACTATTTTAATTTAATATTTGATGATAAATTTTCTGAAAGAATCATTACTAAGATCAATTTAATTTTGAAGTAATTTATATTTTTATAAAAAGAGTTATTTTTTTGTACCTAAAGATATTATGTAAATCATGTAACTTGTAACCACATTTACTTTTATTAGAATAATCAGTGTTTTGAAGTAATTTAATTAAATAATTCTGTATAGTGGTTTTGCTTTCCTAATTTTTAAACATTCTTTAAAATAACTGTAAATAATGACCATTTATAATCTAAAGTACTTTATTGTAAGGAAAATAATTTGGACGTTCTAACCTATAAATGATAACACATGTATATGTGATCTATAAGAAAAATTGTTAAAAAATATTGCGATTTCTATATATTTTATTGTAACTCTTGAATTAAAATTTTTTTCTCAAGTGTAAAGCACAACACAGTTTAAAAATCAGAAGTTGTCTATTCTTGTAGTAATTAGAATACGCTAATGATAAAAATAAGCATCATGACAAAGCAAAACCACTTGAGATTAATAGTATACACATATTACATATAGATGAATAGAAACTAAACCACTGATTTCTAATTTAAATATAATGACATATGTTACAAATATTAAAACTTTTGTATTGCATCCTAAAAGTCAGCTTTTCAACAAAAAATCATTGCACCATGTGCACTGGAGGCATATGTCATTGACAACTGTAAAGTAAATTAGGTTATGTTCGCATTACCACGCAGAGTACGGTGTACCGGTATGGTACTTGTATCGTACTAATATGCTGTATTTTCATAAATGACAGTACAACGTAATGGTATTATACTAGCCTCATACTTTTATGGAGTACTTTTATTTTACAATTTTAGTCGTACGACATACCGTCGTTATACTGGTACCGTACCAATACCCACTACTATAAATTTCTCTCCGTGTAGGTTATATTTCAATTTATGGTTTCTTTTAACAATTGGAAACACTTTGACTTTTGTTCGGAAAAAGTATTTTTTTTGAAAGATTAAAGTTGACTGATAAGAAGAATAAAATTTAAACTGCCTTTTTCACGGCGCAATGTGTGAGCGATAAAAATGTTGTGTGAACGAATTGTATAAATAAAAGATTAAAATTGAAAATAAACAAAAATTTTATTATTTATTACAATTATTGCATATCTTATAATAGTAAATTATTACAATTAAGTACCATGGAGAAACATTTTAAATTATTTCATAAGTACATTTTTTCCAATTTTCCTAATTATAAATATACTTATATTAATTACAATATAAAAAATTAAAATAAATTAAAAATTTCGAGATAAGTAGAGGAGTAAATTAAAATTTATTCCTGCACTGAAGAAAAACTGTTTAATAAATTAAATGAAATATAAATATTATTTTTCATATGGTATTTCAAAAGAGAAATAAATAAAATAGTAAATAAAAATAAAAAAAAATTCTGAAATATTAAAAATTCGTTGACTTTAATAATATATTTAATTTTACGAAAATTCACAACCTTGCATTTCTCTAAAATATTAAATAATATCATTTTTAGTGCCTATCGGATGTAAATAATTATTATACACTATACAAAAGAATCACAATTTACATATTGTAAAAATCACGAGCTCAAAATATTTTAACCCCTTCACAGTGTTTGACGTCTATACACGGAGAGAGAATATATATTAAATTTTGTAAAAATATTTTCAAATTGGGGAAAAAGTGCGACAAAGCGAAATTTTGATATAAAAAATACTAAACTTTAAAAAAACTTATGTGAAATTTAGTATAATTATATCAAATATCAAGAATATTAATTAAATTCTAATATAACTTTAATAAATTTTACAAACCTTTTTTTAAAGTTTAGTATTTTCTATATCAAAATTTCGCTTTGTTGCACTTTTTCCCCAATTTGTAAAATACTTTTACAAAATTTAATATATATTCTCTCTCCGTGTAGAGGCAAAAATAATTCGTGCCCCCAGTGTGTATGACCGCTATAGCGGCATCGAAAAAAAGGTATATAAAAGTTAACGAATCTTGCCATAAATGCCTACTCGGGGGTTTTCGAGGTCGCTGAATCCAAATCCGTTATTGAAAATTTTAAATTCAAAATGGCGACCCAAAATTTTTTTTAAGTTTACGAATTTGGCTGAAAATTCTCATTCGGGGGTTTTTGAGGTCTCTAAATCCAAATATTTAGTCAAAAATTACAAATTCAAAATGGCGGCTCCAAAATGGCGACCAAAAAAAATTTAAAAGTTTACGGATTTGACTAAAAATGTTTACTTGGGTATTTTTGGGGTCGCTGAATTCGAATATTTGGTTAAAATTTTTAAATTCAAAATGGCGGCTTCAAAATGGTGACCAAAAATTTTTTCAAGTTTACGAATTTGTCTGAAAATGTTCATTCGGGGGTTTTTGAGGTCTCTAAATCCAAATATTTAATCAAAAATTAAAAATTCAAAATGGCGGCTCCAAAAAAATTTAAAGTTCTTAAATTAGTTCTTAAAACTTAAAGCAGAGGAACTAATATGTCCGATGTTTTAAAACATGGTGAAATACTCAAAATCAATCAATATTAAAAAATTTAAGAATAGAAATTAAATTAAATAGTTCGTGACTCCGGATTCGACTAAGAGCGGTGTTTTAAATAGTTTGTGTAAATATATATAAATATAAAAATATAATATATGTAAAATATAATATATATACATATATAAAAATATAAACTCCAAAATACTCAAATAACTATTTATAACCACATTCGTAAACTTTTAAATTTTTAGTTGATATCTTGAAGTCGCCATTTCGAATTATAAATTTTTAACAAAATATCCTAATTCAGTGACTCCAAAAACCCCCAAATGCACATTTTTAGCCAAATCCGGAAACTTTAAAATTTTTTCGGTCGCCATTTTGAAGCCGCTATTTTGAATTTTAAAATTTTAACCAAATATTCGAAATCAGCGACCCCAAAAACCCCCAAGAGAGTATTTTTAGTCAAATACGGAAACTTTTAAATTTTTTAAGCCGCCATTTTGAATTTTTTAATTTTGATCAAATATTCGGATTCAGCGACCCCGAAAACATAAAATATAATAATATCAAGTAATTAAAAAAAAATTTTTTTTTGCACATTTTTGGCACGAAAAGCTTATTTTGACTACACTGCTAAGGGGTTAAGAGAAAAATTCGTTGATTATTATTGATGATACAAAGGCAATTTGTCGATAATATTATTATCCATATTTTTAACTATTTTTTTAAGCTTAAAAAATTGTTTCTGTTATCGAATAACATTGACAATATTATTGCATTGTTTCATTATGTATAAAAGTTTTAGAATTCTATTTATATTACTATCTCTATATAATCTATTAATATAAACTAAGTAAGCGTTTGCATTGCATGGCTAAAAAAGCCTTTCTTTTAATTATCTTCGGTGCAAAAATTTTTAAAAAATAAAAAAAGAAATTTTAAGAGAAAAATTTCTTTTGCTCTCCTAACAATATCTAATTTATTCGTGATTAGGAATAGAAAGAATTTTCTGTTTTTAACTATCGTGAATTGGAGCTGTTGCTGTGTCCCAACTCATTGAGCGTTCGACTGCGGCTTTCCATTTTGAATAACGCAGATCTCGTTCTTAAAAAGTGAAAAATTTTTAGTTCATAGTTTTTAACAATAATATAAAATATAATTATAATATAAAATAAATAATAATAAAATTTCAAATTCAATTAAGTTTAAAGTAATATTAAATTAAATATGTATAGAAAAAATTATTTTTTTATATTTTACCGTCTTCTCCAATTTGAGGGGAGAATTTCGTAATTTGTGATGCATCGACATCAGTGATTTCTATGAGATTTGCTCCAATACCCGCCAATATTGCTGCACCCAAAGCTGTTGTTTCAAACATTTTTGGACGCACTGAAAAACGAAAAAAAATATACTTTATAATAATTTAATGTTAACAACATTATTTTAATATATTGAAGAAAAATATTTGATTTATAATTTATTTTTAATTAAATTTTATTTTTATAGATTTCCTAAACACAGAATAATTATTTTTTAAAACTTTTTAATAATGTTTTAACTTGCAAAATTATCCTCATATTATTTTACATTATATTATAAGTAAATAATTAATGGATAAGTTAAAATTAGTTTTTTTACTATACAAGTATTTTGTATTTTGTTGTCTAAAAAATTATTATTTAAAATGAGACCATTTAGTAAAATTATTAAAATTTTAAACAAAATTTAGAAGTTATTTAACTTTATCCTTTTTCAATTAATTTATATCCTAGAAATTATTTTAGTTTTACAAAATATGGAATTCTTTGTTTAAAAAGTTTAATATGTAAGCATTTTTTGACTTTTTATATTCAATTAAAATTTTTATTAAAAAAATTATTTTTAAATTTAAAATGAAAGTCTGAAGTAACAATTTCTTCGAAATTTAATTTTCCTTGAACAGCAATGAAAGTTTAACAGCAATATATATGTAGTAATTGAACCAAATTTATCGGATTCACTTGAAATTACAAAGTTTCTAATTTTAAAAATTTTAAATTTAATTAAAATTTAAAATCCAATCTGTCGCGGACTTTTTTTTAATTTATCGGATTCAGTGATTTTTGGGTGAATTTTGGTAAAGTTTCAAAATTATTAATTGCTATGTGAGTCAAAACGCGTCAACCGTAAATAAATTTTTTTTATAGTTTTAGAAAAGTCAAAACATTTATGAAAATCTGTAGTTCACAGCAAACCAAAAAAACATTTTCAAAATTTTAAATATTTATACCTTTTTTTATAATAAAAATTTTTTGCATTATTTAAGAAAAAAATTAATAACTCATTACTGTTTTGCTAGAAATTAATGGCAAGTTTTTTGGTAGTGATTGAATATCCACTCTTTTAAATAAACTTAATTGTGAAAAAAAATTTTGAAAAATTTTTTTTCACAAATTTTTTTCATGTCAAGTGTTTCATTTTCACCACCTCCGTGGAGTTAGTTTTCTTTTTTTCTTAAGAGAACCTTATCTAACCTCAAATTTTTCGTTAATTATTCATTTTACGTATTTCATGTCAAGTGTTTCATTTTCACCACCTCCGTGGAGCTGGTTTTCCTTAAGAAAACCTTACCTAACCTCAAATTCTTCGTTGGTGTTGGTTAATTATTTATTTACGTATTTCATGTCAAGTGTTTCATTTTCATCACCTCCGTTAATTTGTTTGTCTCTACTATAAGGAAACTTAACTGGCAGATGTTCGTGAATGATTTTAAAACATTTGTTTTTGTAGTAAGAAAAAAATTACTAATGATGTACTGATAAATTTCATTAACGTTATTAAAGTATTTCATGTCAAGTGTTTCACTTTTGCCTGCTTTTGCCTCCGCTGTGGAGTGTTCGGTTTCTTCACTTCCAATCCAAATTGTGTAACAACGGTCGATAAAGTAGAACATAAAAAAAAGAATTAAGTGGGAAAATTTTGATTCTTGTTTTTTGAAAAAATAAAAATTTTATCTTTTGTATGTAAAATGTTTTCTCCTCTTGTTTATACTCACCAACATGAATTCCAGTAATATCGGCTTGCAATTGCATCAATAAATCATTGACAGTCATTCCGCCGTCTACTTGTAGTGTTGTCAATTTCGTTCCCGAATCTTTTACCATTGCCTCAAGTATATCGCGCGTTTGAAAACAAACGGCTTCTAGAGCAGCGCGAATAATGTGATATTGCTGTGTATCTTCTGTGATACCACAAATTACACTGTAAATAAATTTATTTTTAAAAAATATTTTTTATTAAAAAAATTTATTTTTAAAAAAATATTTTTTTTTACAAAATATTTTTTTATATAATATGATAATTAAAAAAAAAGATATTGAATTTAAAAAATATAAAACAAACCCTCGCGCGTCTTGTTGCCAATAGGGAGCGTACAATCCGGAAAAAGCTGGAACAAAATAAACATCGCCAGAGCAACGAACTCGTTCCGCTAAATCTTGCGATTGTGTGATATTGCTGAGCATTTGCATATTATCTCGCAACCAAGATAAAGCAGCTCCAGCCACAGCGACTGAACCCTCAAGTGCATAAATTGCCGGATTCTTTCCCAATTTATATGCCACTGTTGTTATTAATCCGTGATTTGAATCCACCTTCTGAAAACAAAAATTATTTAAAACAAAAAATAATAATTATCATTGTGTAAGTAATTGAAAATTTCTTGTATAATTAAAAAAAATTATAAATAATAAAAAAAATGAATGATATAAATAATAAATTATAAATTTCATTTTCTATTAAAAATTAAAAACAAAAAAATTTAATTTGTTTAAAAAAATATTTTTTTATTTTATTTTTTTATTTATTTCTGTAATTATTTTTCTATTTATTTATTTATTTTTATTATTTTATTTATATTTATAGTTATATTTATTTTATTCAATTATTTTTGTAATCTTTAAGGTATTACAAAAAGTTAAAATGATTAAATATAAAATAATTTATTCATTTAATAAATATAATTAATAAATTTTGAAATAATTACCACATTTCCGGTATTGTAGAGTAAAAAACATCCAGTTCCATATGTCGCTTTCGCTTGTCCGGGTTTTAAGCACAATTGACCAAGTAAAGCTCCTTGTTGATCTCCTACACACTATAATTAAAAATATTTTTTTTCTATTTTTTATTTTTGTTAATTTAATTTATTCATTTATTTGTTAATTTTTTATTTGTTTGTTTATTTATTTATATAATTATTTGTTTTTTATTTGCTTGTTTGATAACATCTTTGATTTGTTTGATGATTTATTCCATTAACAATTTGTTAATTTAGATTTTTGCTTTTTGTTCATTTAATTATTTAATTATTCGTTTAATTCGTCATTTAATTATTTGTTTTGTTAATTTATTTGTTCTTTTTTTGTTTATATATTGAATTAATAATTTATTTATTAAGAAATTTATTAACAATTTGTTTATTTGGTGAAATAACAATTTTTAATTTCAATTTTAATTAACAATTTTAATTAACAAAAATTAATTTAGTTTACACTTTTGTTCATGTTTGGTTTAATTATTTACTTATTTATTTATTAATTTGCTTTTATTCATTTATTTATTTCTTTATTTGCTTACTGTTTATTTGCTTATTAATTATTTAATTAGTTGTTTGTTAACTTTCTTTTATTTGTTTATTGAATTAACAATTTGTTTATTTATTAGTTTACACTTTTGTTTATGTTTGTTTATTTATTGATATAATTATTTATTTGGTTGTTTGATTACTTTTTTGTTTGTGTTTAGTTTACTTATTTATTTTCTTACTTGTTTACTAATTTATATTTTACTCATTTGTTTATTTATTTGTTTATTTGCTTATTAGTTTGTTTTTTGTTTATTGATTTTAGTTTCATTATTTATTTGTTTATTTATTTATTTATCTATATAATTTATTTTTTTTGTTTACTTATTTGTTTATGTATTTTTTGTTTACTTATTTGTTTATGTATTTTTTGTTTACTTAATTGTTTATGTACTTTTTGTTTATTTAATTTATATTTACATTCTTGTTTATTTATTTATTTGCGTACTATTTTTTTTTTTTATTTAATTATTTACAGATTAAGGGTACGTTTACAGCTCTGCATATAGGTTGCCATGGTAACGTGAAAGAGTGAGAGAGATAAAACAATTTCCTATCTCTCTCACTCTTGTACGTTACCATGGCAACCTGCATGCAGAGCTATGAACGTACGATTATTTGCTTATTTTTTCATACTTATAATAAATAATAGTAATTACACGAACAAAAAACTCACCCCTGAAATTGGGATTCCCGAAAGTACATTTGGACTTTCAATTAGAGCATAAAATTCCGCACTTGAACGTATTTGCGGTAGAATGTGTTGGGGAACTTCAAAAAAGTTACAAAGTAACGGATCCCATTTTAATGTTTCAATATTCATTAACATTGTTCTTGAAGCATTTGAAACGTCTGTTGCGTGCAATTTTCCCTGAGTGAGATTCTGTATTTTTTTTTAAAGAAAAATTTGTAAATTATTCAAATTTTAAATAAAAAGTAACAAAAATTTATTTTAAATTTCGCGCGCCTTTCTATTGCAACACGAGAAAAAATTCTACATTATCGACGCAACATAGATTAGAAACTCAAAGAAGAAAAGCAAATATTTTTTTTTACCCATATTAGCCATGTATCGACAGTTCCAAAGGCACATGTCTCATTTTGTACGGCCTGCTTTATTTTCGGTACATTATCAATTAGCCAACGAATTTTCAGTGCACTAAAATATGGTGACATTGGTAATCCACAAATTGGCTTTAGATAATTTTTATTTCTCGATTTATTTGGAATTTTATCTTGAACATCCTCCAATGTTGTTGTTGTTCTCATGTCGAGCCAAACTAAATGATAATTACGAAATTTTTTTTAATTTGACAGCAAATATTTTTTTTTCTAAATTAAGGTGAAGAATGTTACAAAATGGCGGATCCAATGTGGCGGATAATGACTAAAAATTCATGAAAATTGCTTGAAACTAGTTACTCGGGGGTTTTTGGGGTCACTGATTACGATTCTAATGTCGGATTTAAAAAATTCAAAATGGTGAATCCAATATGGCGGAAGTACTTTTAAAAATTCATTAAATTCGTTTGAAACTCGTTACTCGGGGGTTTTTGGGGTCGCTGATTACGAATTTGACATTGAATTTTAAAAATACAAAATGGCGGATCCAATATGGCGGAGAATTATTAAAAATTGATCAAATTCGCATGAAACTCGTTACTCGGGGGTTTTTGGGATCGCTGATTACGAATCCGATATTCGATTTTAAAAATTCAAAATAGTGGATCCAATATGGCGGAAGTATTTTTAAAAATTCATCAAATTCGTTTGAAACTCGTTGTTCGGGGGTTTTCGGGGTCGCTGATTACGAATCCGGTGTTAGTTTTTTAAAATTCAAAATAGCGGATCCAATATGGCGGACAAAAATTTAAAGTCATTGGATTTTGTTGAAATTTGTTACTCGGGGGTTTTCGGGGTCACTGATTACGAATCTGACATTGAATTTTAAAAATACAAAATAGCGGCTACAATATGGCGGAGAATTGTTAAAAATTGATCAAATTCGCTTAAAACTCGTTACTTCGGGGTATTTTTTTTTTGTATCTAAACATGAATCAAATAATTTTGTTTACCAATTGCATTGTGTAAAGGTTCGCCGGTATTTTTATCCCAAACAAGAGTTGTTTCACGTTGATTTGTAATTCCAATTGCTTTAATATCTGATTTTGACAAACCCACGTCTTTTAATTTATTCATTGTCACTTTTATACAATCCATAACAGCTTGTAGTATTTCCTTTGGATCCTGTTCGACCCATCCTTCCTGGGGATATTTTTGCTTTATTTCTATTTGATGCGATACCACAACTTTTCTTCGTAAAACATCGAAAATCTATAAGAAAAGATGAAAATAGAAAATTTTTTTTAAAAAATTACAAAAAAGTTATTAAAAAATCGAGAAAAAAATAATTTTTGTTAACAAAAAAATTATTCAAAAAATTTTTAAAAAAATTCTATTACTAAAAAATAGGTAAAAAAATTTTTTAAATAATTTTTGAATTTTATTTTTATATTAAAAAATATAATGTATAATTTTTAATAATTTTGAAAAAAAAAATTTTTTTTTAGCTTTAAAAATAGGTCAAGGAAGTGGAAAATTTAAAAATATATATATATGAAAAAAAAATTGCCTTTGTAATAAGTGAATAATGACTATGACGATAATTGTATATACCTATATACTTATAATTGCGCGTGTGTCACAAAAATGATGCCAAAAAAATAAAATTAAAATTAATCAGTCAAAATTTTACCAAAAATCGAGCACTGCTAGTTCCTTCATCAATAGCACCAATAAAGGGTCCATTTTTCCAAATATTTTCTGTCATAATTTCCTTTTTTTTTCTCAAAACAATTATTTCAAAGAATACTTTTCTTTTTCTTTTTATAATACAAAAGAATCGTTTCACTCAGTTCCAATACACAATGACCGACTTTTAACCTTTCGACTACTTGTCGAAATAAGTTATGTAATTGCAAAAATAAATAAATAAAACCCTATATGATTTCTATTGAGAAATTTTTACAGTTAACTCTCAAAATAAAAAATAGATTTTCATTTGAAATTTCGTAAAAATAATAAAATTTTTAAAAAAATAATTATTTAACCTTAAAAAATTGGATAAAATTTATTAAAATTTATCGAGAAATTTCTCATTGTCTTTCTTTTCTTGTCACTGAATTTTTTCACGATTAAAAGTTTATTTAATTTTTAAATTTGTATTTTTTTATTTACTAAAAATGTTTATGGACGTGATTGTAAAGTAACATATGTATATATATATATATATTTATACATATGTTTCATAGTGATTAAAACGTGACATTAGCAGACGATGTATATTTCTATGATTTTCGTTTTGATTGGTTGGAATTGTACGAGGGGGAAAATTTTAAATATTTTAAGAAAAAAGCTAATATTTTATTGTTAAAAAAATAATATAATTATAAATTATTATTGAATGAGATATATTTTGAATATTTTATTTGCTTTTTTCTTTTATTCGTTTTTTTGTATTATTTTGGTGAAATTGAAAAAATGTTTTTCAAACTGATTGGTATGAACGATTTCTACGTTGCCGCACTAGTGACAGGGTTGGCAGCATTGGAGTCTATTCCTCCGGAGACAAGTTCACTGTCTTTGAGAGGAAATTGCGGGAATCGTCATTGTTGTCATTTTTTTACTTTTCAAGATATTTTTGTTTTCGATTCCGTTTATTAGTATTAAAGTGTAAAACTAAGGTTTTTTAATTTCCGTTTGTAATTATTTTGTAAGAAATAAGAATCCACGCCTTAAAATAAGTTGAACAAAGTTCGATTTTTCTTTGAGGTTAAAAATTATTGTTTTTTAATTTTTGTTATTAGAGTTTTAGTAAATGTTAAAAAATATTTTTCTTTATGAACAAATTTCTTGCAAGGCAATTAATTTTATTTAGTTACATTATTAAATGTTTCTTTAATTTTCGTTTGTAATAAAATTTTTCCACAAAATTATAAATTTTATGCCTCAAAGAAATAGTCACGAATTTCTCTTTTATTATTATTATTATTCTAATAACATTTTTTGTATTATTATACACATAATATATTTTAACAATAATAATTGTAATAATAATAATACTAAATTACTATTATTCTTTTTAATTACTTTTTAAAATTTTTTTTGAGGTCATTTTGTATATTAAAATCAAAAACAATTTTTCATCGTCACATTTGTTTTGTTTATTTCACACAGTTAAAAAATGAAAAATATTTTTACAGATTCATTAAAAATTTCTCTTTAACTTCTACATTTAATTCTCTTTTCATTTAAAAAAAAAAATTTTTTGGTATTTTTTTTTCTATAAAATCATTATAAAGTACAATTCTGACAATTAAAACTAAAACAATTTTTTTCGTTGCTCAATGTTGATTAAAAATTCACGTTCATGTAGATTATTCAAAAATTACAATAAGTCAGTAAAATCCTCTTCATTTCCTAAAAAAAATAATTGAAAGAAAATTATTCAGAATAAATTCCAACCTCGGATATGACTTTTTCGACTTTTTTCGACTATTTTCAAACAAATGTAACTTTTATCAACTTATATATTTATATTTATAGAAAAATTTATTTTTGAATAATTTTTCTAATTAAATTTTTGAAATATACAATTAAAAATATTTTGAATAAATGAAATTTTGTAAAATTTAGTAGAAATTATTTTTTCAAGTATTTTATTACAATTTTAAAAAATTAATTTTTAAAGAATTTTAATTTGAAAATATTTTAGAAATAATTGAATTCTCAAAAATTTTAATGAATAATCTTCAAGTGTAAATTCAATAAAAGTGAAAATGAATGAAAATTAGGTTCTAAAAATAATATTAAAATAGTTTTGAAAAAAGTAATTCTCCGAATTTTTTCTTTCTAATTTTTTAAAATCCACTTATATTTCCAATATTTTTAATACTTCCGAAAATTCAAATACATACACAAAATAATAATATTAAAATTTTTTAGAATTATTTTTAATATTTTGGAGAAAATAATCATATTCAAAATTTTTAATTAAAATTCTTCAAAAAATTATTTTTTTTTAAATAATACAAAAATTCTTTAATAATTTTCGAAAAATTACATTACAATATTTATAAAAAAGTAATTCTAAGAATTGTTTTATCATAATTTTTTAAAATTTAAATACCTTCGAACAAAGTACATTAAAATTTTTAAAAATTTACCATTATGGAATTTTTGAGAAATCAAATAATTAAAATTCTTCAAAAATTTGATTATTTTTTTTATATATTTATTAAAAACTCCATTATTTTTAAAAGATTTTATCAAATTTCAATAACTTTTTCAAAGATTTGCCTATAATTAAAAACTATTTTTGAAAAGATGTTACCAAATTTCAATTTTTTGGACAAAAATTATTTAGAAATTAGAAATATTTTTAAGAAGTTAATTTTTCGAATTTCTTTATTAAAATTTTTGAAAATTTATTTTTGAATTATTTTTCTAATTAAATTTTTCAAATATTTTGTAAAATTTAATGGAAAATAAATCATTTTTTAAGTATTTTATTACAATGTTTAAATATTAACTTAATTTAAAGAATATTTTAATTGAAAATTTTGTAAATAATTGAATTCTCAAAAATTTTAATGAATAATCTTCAAGTGTAAATTCAATAAAAATGAAAATGAATGCAAATTAGATTCTAAAAATAATATTAAAATAGTTTTAAAAAAAAGTAATTCTCTGAATTATTTCATTCTAATTTTTTTTTAAATTCACTTATTTTCAATATTTTCAATATTTCCGAAAATTCAAGCACATACACAATATAATAACATTAAAATTTTTAAAAATTATTTATAACATTTTGAAAAAAATTATCATATGTTTAAAATTTTTAATTAAAATTCTTCAAAAAATTATTTTTTTTTAAATAATACAAAAATTCTTCAATAATTTTCGAAAAATTACATTACAATATTTATAAAAAAAACTAATACTCGTTTTATCATAATTTTTTAAGATTCAATTACCTTCGAACAAAGAAAATTAACATTTTAAAAAATTTACCATTATGGAATTTCTGAGAAATCAAATAATTAAAATTCTTTAAAAATTTAATTATTTTTTAATATATTTTTTAGAAAACTCAATTATTTTTAAAAGATTTTTTATCAAATTTTAATTATTTTTCAAAGATTTTACTAAATTTAAATTATTTTTTAAAAGATTTTACCAATTTTTTTTTTTACATTTTTTAATTGAATGTAATTGTAAAACTATTGTCTTTCAAAAATGATTTATAAATATTTGAAAAAAGTTAATTTTACGAATTTTTTTATTCAAGTTTTTGAAAATATTCTACCTTTAATATATTTAAAAAGAAAAGTGAACGGTTTCAATTATTATAAAAAAAATTGAATTTTTGTATTTAAATAATTGCGAATTCTCGAAGAAATTTCGAAAAATTATTAAAAATTGACATAAATAATTTGATTTAGAGATGAAGTTTTGTTAAAAATTGTAGAAAATAATTGAATTTTCGAAAGGGTTATAGTTTTAAATTTTAGAAATTATTAAATTTCAGAAGTTTAATTTTTTTAAATTTTATTTCCGGTGAAAAAAGAAATAAGAAGTTTATTTAAATATTTATTTAGCAAAATTATTCAATTTTTGATTAATTGAGTTTAAAAATCAGTGAAGAATAAGGGAAATACAAAATTAAATTTTTGTGACAGCAATAAATTAAATAAACGACTTTTTCGACTTTTTTTCAATTTTTAATTGACTAAGGGGAATTTTTTTTGTTCGTTAAAGTCAATCCGAGGCCTGTAAATATAAAAAAATTAATTTTATTATTATTAATATTATTAATAATATTAATTATAATAAAAATAATAAAGATCTTAAACTTTTTTGTTAGGCCTCATGGCCTAATAATTTAAATAATAAGAAAAAAAAATTAAATTTAAAAAAAAATTTTTAAAAAAATTGTAAATAACATTAATTATAATAATTTTATTATTAATATTATTAAGTATGTAATAATTTTATTATTATTTTTACAAATATTATTAATATTAATATTATTTAACAGTTAAAATTAAACTAATTTTAAAATTGTGCTACAAAATTTCATTTGCATAGTTAAAAATACAGTAAAAAAATTAGATGATTGAATAATGAATCTTGTAGAATTTTGTTTAAAGTTAAAAATATTAAATATCAATTTACCTCAAATTTCTATTTTCAAAAAATCGTTAATTCTTCTCAGTAACTTTTAGTTGTAACTTCCTCGATATCTTCAGTTGTGACTTCCTCGATATCTTCAGTTGTAGCTTCCTCAATATCTTCAGTTATAGCTTCCTCAATAGCTTCAGTTGTAGCTTCCTCAATAGCTTCAGTTATAGCTTCCTCAATAGCTTCAGTTGTAACTTCCTTAATAGCTTCAGTTATAATTTCCTCGATATCTTCAGTTTTAACTTTCACTTCACTTGCAATCATAGCTTTCGCAATATCTTCAGCTTTAATTATAACGGCATCGCCAACGTAAACTTCTTCAACATCTGCAGCAATTGTCTCTTCTTCTTCTTCATCATCCTCATCATCATAATTAGTTTTACTTTCTTCAGCAATTTTTTTTAATTCGGGTTGAGTAAGATTTTCATCATCAACATCATTCACATCAAATATGGTGATAATTGATCGTTTAACGATAATTTTTTCTGTCTTATTTTTAGTTGAATTTAATGCAAATTTAGCATCAATTTCATGATGATCCATAATTACTGTTGGTTTTGTCATTTCATTTTTAATAATATTTTCGGTTGCTTTTTCAATGGGCATTTCTTCTGTTGTTGTAATAGTGTCACTATCATTGGTATTGATGGTGATGATGGTTGTTGGTGGAAGCATTGTTGTAGTATTTGATTCAATTGCCATCGGTAGAGTCAACACGGTTTTTACTGCTAGTAAGCAGATCGTCAATATCAACATTTTTTTCAACATTTTTGATAATAAAAATCTGGAAATAAAAATATTTTTTTTTTGTTAAAAAAGAAAAAATCTGTTATTGATGAAGATACAAAAATTTTTTTTTATAATTTCTAAACAATTTTTTCTTGTACTTTTTGTAATTTTTTTTCTTTACATTGTTAAATGGTTTTACAATTTCCGTTTGTAATAATTTATCAGGAGAGGAAAAAATACTTTTTTTCTTCACAAAAAAATTTGCTAAACATTTAATTTTTTTAAACGATTTTTTAATTTCCGTTTGTAATCAATTTTTTTGTGAGCAAAATAGACTTGAAAAAAATTAATTTTTTTGAATTGAATTTTTATGGTTTTTTAATTTTTGTTTGTAATAAATATATTAATATTAGTAATATCTATTAATAAATATTGATTAAATTTAAGAAACAAGAAATAAAAATCAAAAAATAATTTTTAATAATTTTTAATAAAAAAAAATAAATAAAAATTATAGTGGAAAAATATTAAAATTAAAATCATAAAATTGCGAAAGAAATCTTAATAGTAAATTAAAAATGTAATAAAATTATAAATCAGAGAATTGAAGAATAAAAAAATTAATAATATTTCTATAAAGAATAATTCAAAGATTATTAAAAAAAAATAACATTAATTTTATTAATTTTCTTGATATTGAAAAATATTCAAAAAAATTTTATCAAAACAAATTGAAATAGTCTAAAATTTTGGGCAAAGCATTGAAAGTTAATTTTGTTTAATTATATTCTATTATCAAACTCATTATTGAATTGACCTTGAGAAAGAAAATTTCTATTTCAAAATTATTCAATCACTTAATTATAATAAATATAAAAGAAAACAAAATATTTTATATTTATTTTTTAAACAAATTATCTAATATAAAATAAAAGAACAAAAAGGAAAATTTTTAATTGTTAATAAAATTTTTATTCAAGAAGAAAAAATTTCACCGCGAAATTAGAGAAAACAAAAATATCACTATCAATAAAAAATAAAATAATAAAAATAAATAAAAATCAAAATAATGAAAATTATAAAATATATTTGTTAGATTAAATTATTTAATTTTATTGTAAAAATAAATAATTTTCAAAAAGAAAGAGAAAAATAGTAAAAAAAAAATGATTAAAAAGAAATTAACTTACTTTTCTTCTAATTTTAATGAACAAGCAAGAATACTGTTTATTCGTTGATGGCTGGATCAAATTTAAAATCGAAATTCAAAGTAATTGACGATTTACGATATTTTTCTTATCCCCACCAATAAATAAGAGGGGGGGGAGAGGAAACAAATTTAGAGATATTTATAAATTTAAAAATTCGAATCCAAAAAAAAAATTTGAATTGCTTAAAATTTTTTTTTTAAATTAATTAATTTAAACAAAATAAATAAATATTGGTAATTAATAAATAATATTTGTTACATAAAATTGAAAAAATGAAAATAATGGACAGGAATTTATAATAAAATAAATAATCAAAATTTTACTATTGTTAGATTGTAATTATTATTATAAATAATTTATCAATTAATAATTGATTATTAAATAATAATTAATTAATTAATAATATAAATTTTCTTTTTATTTAAAAAAGTAAAATTCTTTTTTACAATTTGAGAATATTTCATTAAATAAAAACAAATTTTGGGGTAGGGGTAATTATATTATTTTTCTTGTTAAATATTTTTAAATTTATTTAACCCCCCCCCTCTTAATTTAAATAAAAAATTTCAATTTTTTTTATTTAACTATAAAATAATTATTGTCGTTTTTAAAAAATATTATTATATAATAAAATACATCATCATTTTTTATTGAAAAGAAATTATTTCCTCCTTAATTTGAAATAAAAATTATTATCATTATTTGAAAAAATTATTTTTATAAAAAATTATATTCATTTTCCAATAAATAAATTTAATAAATCAACTGATAATAAAAAATATAATTTCGAAATAATTAAAAGAAAAAATTTCTATTGTTTCGAAAAAAGAAAATTTTATTTTTTTATTTATTTTATAAAAAATAAATACCTAAATAAATAAATTTATTGAGTAATACAAAAAACAAATTAAAATTTATTTATATAAAACAAATTCTTGAAATTAGTTTTATATTTATATAAAAAAAATTAAAAATTTTTTTTTAATAAATAAATTTGAAAAAAAAATTTCTTTTTCGCTTTATGAATTATTTTTTGTTTAAAAAAAATTTAGTGCCGAATTTTTTTCAAATGTTTTGCTCTATTAATTTCAATTTGTGATATAAAAAAAAAATTTATTCGCTACGAATGAACTTGAGTCGAATTCTTTATATTTTTCAATTCATATTTGTTTTGCTCCAATAATTTTTCTCCTCTTGTATAAAAATTTTTATTTTCAAGAAGAAAACCAAAATTTTTAAACGTTAATCTCGATCAAAAATTTATTTAAAATTTGGAAGAAAAGAAAAAATTTAAATAAATAAAAATAAATTTCATTTTACTTTTCTTTATGAAAATTAAAAAAAAATTTTTTTGAAGAAATTTCAATTATAAAGAAATAAATTTATTATGAACAAAATATTTATAAAAAAGTGTTTTTTAATTATTTGCAGTAAAATTGAAAATTTAGAAATATTTATAAAAAAATTAATTAAAAAAAATAAATAAATTTTATAATTTGAAATGGCATTGAAATCATAATGAATAAAATGGAAAAAATTAGTTTAAAATTATAATATGAAATTAAAAGTATAATTAATTTATAAATATAATAATTATAATATTTATTATTTATCGTATTTATTTATAATTAAATAATTTATAAAAAAGTAAAACAAATAATTTAAATAAAACAAATTATTTATAAAGAGAAAAAAGTTATTTATTACTTTCCTCCATTAGGAAGTAATAAATAAAATTAGAAATAAATTAAAAATAATTTTTGTTATAATAAAAAATAGTTTATCTGCGGAAAGTATAATTTATAATTATAAAAATTAAAAAATTAAAAAAATTTTTTTTTAATAAAATAAAATAGTAAAAAATAAAATCTTCCTCTTATTTTACTCTAATCGGTTATTATTATTTTCTTTTAATATTTTATTTATCAAGTTTATAAATTTTATTTTTTTTCTTCATTAATTCTTTTTTTTTATTTATTTTTTTCATGTTAATGATTTTGAAAATTTTCATTTCTGCTCATTATTAAAATGACAAAAAGCAAATTTTGTTTTGAAAATTTCTGGTGTATAATTCTTATCAATCTGACAAGGCCTTTTATACAAAAAGTAAATATACTCTTTCGACAGTTTGCATCGAGACGTGATAGAAGGAGTTTTATAAAATATATTAGTAACATTCTTCGACTATACTTTCACTAAATCTTAATCGAAAATAGCAAAAAAAAAACGAAATCTTATAATTCCAAAGCGAGAATATTTTACTTCTTTTTAGCAATTTTTTAATTTTTACTTCATTTTAAGGATTTTAAGGTAAGTTTATTTTATTTTAAATTTAACTTTTACTGGGTATTTTTATTTTAAATTTTATTTATCAAAAGTTATGCTAATTATACATTTAATTATTAAAATTAGATAAAAAAATATATATCCTAAATATTATAAATTTTATTATAAATTTAAAATTTCTAATTTTATCATTAAAATTATTAATTTTTTGTAACAATAATGATAATAATAATAATAATAATAATAATAATAATAATAATAATTATGATTATGGTAATTATAATTATAATTACATTAAGGGCATTTGAAACTTGATGACGTCACACATGCTTTGCACAAACTGAAACGTCATCAAGGTTCAAATGCCCTTAAATAATAATAATAAATAACCTATAGAAATTTATGAATTATTATTTTCTCTAACATGTAAATTAAAATAATAATTTAATTTGAAATTCGATTGTAAAATGACAATGGTAACAATCTATAGTTTAATTTTCACTTGTTTCAGAAATTTCTTTTATGAATATCTCGTGAATATGCGATAAGATGTTTAAACAATAACATTATGATTTCTCCCCTCTTACAAAAATTTTAGTTTTCAATATTATTGTTTATTTTCAATAGTATTACTTATTTATTGAAAAATCAAATAAATTACTATTATATTTTTTATTATAATTATAATTACAAGAGTATAGTAAATAATATAATAATAAAAATAATTAATAATAAAAAAATAGTAATAATTATTTTTCTACTTTTAAATTTTTTTATTAATTTTTAGTTATCTATAAATAAATATTTACATATATTTTTTCTTTTCAATTATTAAAGAAAAAGTTAACGACATTACAAATCAGATAAAAGTTTTATAATCTTACGAAACTTGTGTAAAGATAGAATCAAAAATAAATTATCAGAATCACTTGTTATTAAAACTTGTGTTAGAATTCCGTAGGGTAATGATTTTTTTATAACTAAAAATTTTGCGAAAAAAGTTAATTAAAAAACAAAATTGAAATAAAAAAAAAGTTTTATTATAGATTTAATAATTTTAATATTAAATTATTATTATTATCATCGAAATTTATTGTAAATTTAAATTTATTAATTTTATAATTTAGAGTTTTCATTAATTTTATTTATATAAATTAAAATAAATTAAATTTCAATTAAATAAATGAATTTAAAATTGTAAAGTCTCAAATAGCTGGTAATCTTTCCACAATCAACTAAATATAACTAAATACAATTATTTTTTAAAAAATTGATAAAATTCATCAAAAATTCAATTATTATTTTTAATACTATTTTAAATTAATTAATTGAAAAGTTAAATTATTTTGACAACTGAAGTTTTCCACAAGAATTCAATTATTTTCAAAAATAACCAAATTTTTGACAGAAATTCAATACTTTTAAAACATTTTAATAAAATTTTTCGCAATAATGGAATTCAATTATTTTTGATAATTTTAATAAAATTCTTATTTAATTATTTTCTCAAATAATAAAATTCATCGCAGGATTTTAATTATTTTTAATACAATTTTACAGGAATTGCTCAAAAAATGTAATTATTATTAAAAATTTAATTTCAATTCCTGGAAAAAATCAATTATTTAAAAAAATGTTTGTTTAAAATTCTTAGGAAGAATTCAATTATTTACAAAAAATATTAGAATTTTTCACAGGAATTCAATTATTTTCAAATAATTTAATAAAATTGTTCGAATGAAATTAATTATTTTAAAAACCATTTTAATTAAATTTTTTTTCAAATGATTCAATTATTCTTTTAGATTTTTTATTAAATTCTTCCCAAAAATTCAAAAATTTCTCAGGAATTCAATTATTTGAATTAGAATTTGAAGAAAAATACTTATTTTTCTTTAAAGTCTTTAAAATCTTTTAAAAAAAAATTTTGAAAAAAAACATTTCTTTTATTAAAAAAAAAGAAATGTAGTCAAGGTCCAACCCTGACTATGTTCCTTTAATAATAATAATAATTCTAATAATAATAACAATTAACAATGTTAAATAATTTACTAAAAAAGAAAAAATAAATTTTAAGATTTGAAAAAGCCCGCGTTAGATTTACTTGCCAGAGGGCGCCATTGACTCTCTCGCAAGTGGTAATATTTTAGGTCAAATTATTGTAATAATTGCAAGTATTTCGTCACGTCCGCGTATAAGTGGCGCTAGAGTTCTATTTTAAATAATAGCAGGGGTTCAATTCTGACTATGTTCCCCTACGAAATATAAAATCATTAAATAAATTATTTTTATTATTAATTATTATAATAACTTATTTCATAATTTTTATTATGAATTTAAATAATTTAATTTTTCCTCATACTAAAATTTCTTTCAGATTATATTTTTCACTATTCACCTCTTTTTTTCTCTTCAAAAAAAAAAAAAAAAAAAAATGGAGAATATTATTCGCACAGTTGCTGTAAAATCGTCACGTGCATTAGGTGTAATGAGACAAAATTTACAGCAGCAACAAATTTTTTTCGCTCGACAAATTTCATCGCAGGAAGTATTTCAACGTGAGGATAAATATGGAGCACACAATTATCATCCACTACCAGTGGCATTGTGCCGAGCCGAGGGTGTTTTCATGTGGGATATGGAGGGGAAGAGATATTTCGATTTTCTCAGTGCATACTCAGCCGTTAATCAGGGACATTGTCATCCGAGAATTTATAAAGTACTCGTTGAGCAGGCAAAAACATTGACATTAACCTCAAGGGCATTTTATTCCAATGTTCTCGGCGAATTCGAGGAATATGTCACTAAACTCTTTGGGTTAGTTGAGATTTAATAAAAAAAAAAAATTGTTCACCCATCCGAATAGTAACCGTTTTTAACATTGCTTAACCTGGACGATCGTTGGTCTAGGCGTTCATCACCTGGACCACGTCACTCTTTTTATAAATTCTTTTAGTTTCGTCAATTTTTTCTATCAACGTCTTTTAATTTTAACCGTCTTTTCATTTTTTAAAGAGATTTGTTTAATTTTTCTTTCCCCTAAAGTATTTTTTTTTATTAAAAATAAAATAATAATTTTTTTATGTAATTACTAATTTAATACCCTTTTTGTTAAAATAGATTCGTTTATTAATATTAAAAATAATAATTAATTAAAATTTTTACGTAATTTAATACCCTTTTTGTTGAAATAGATTCATTTCCTTTTTTGAAAAAATATTTTTTTTACTAGATACGAAAAATGGCTGCCAATGAATACTGGAGTCGAGGGTGGCGAGACTGCCTGTAAATTGTCACGTAAATGGGGATACACAAAGAAAGGAATACCGGAAAATCAGGCGAAGATAATTTTTGCCGAGGGCAATTTTTGGGGGAGAACATTGAGTGCCGTCTCGTCGAGTACAGATCCATCGAGTTACAGCGGATTTGGACCATTTATGCCAGGATTTGACATAATACCATACGACGATTTAATTGCTTTGGAAAAAGTCCTGCAGGATCCAAATGTTTGCGCCTTTATGGTTGAGCCAATTCAAGGCGAGGCTGGAGTCGTTGTACCGCAAGTGAGTAAAATTTTTCCCTCTCTTTAAATGTTCGAGACGTGCACGCGGTGAGAGCGTGTCGCCAACTGCCAGTTGAGGAGCTCCGCGCCGACTTTTATACGCGGCGAGTCGCTCGGTAGTGGGGAGCGCCCGGACGCTGCGCTGATTGGCCCCACGCATCAGGCGCGGCTCAAGGAGCACCGTCGCCCTCAACACGTTTTTTTACTAATTTTAATTTTTTTCTAATTAAATTTATTCTAATTCAATTTTTTCCTTATCAACTTTATTTTAACTTAATTTTTTTCTAATTAAATTTTCTTTCTAAATTCAATTAAATTTCGAACTTTTCTCATTCCAGGACGGTTACTTGAGGAAAGTACGTGAACTATGCACGAAATATAATGTCCTGTGGATTGCCGATGAGGTTCAGACTGGTCTATGCAGAACCGGAAAACGTCTAGCAGTTGATCATGAGTCAGTGAAACCGGATATTCTAATTCTTGGTAAAGCATTGTCCGGTGGTTTTTATCCAGTTTCCGGTGTACTGGCCAATGACAGTGTAATGCTGTGTATACGTCCCGGTGAACATGGTTCAACTTATGGTGGTAATCCATTGGGTTGTAAAATTGCACTCGAGGCACTTAAAGTTCTTGAGGAGGAGAAACTTGCGGCTAATGCTGAGAAATGTGGTAAATTATTGCGTGACGAATTAAATAAATTACCGAAGGATATTGTTCCAATTGTTCGCGGTAAGGGACTTCTTAATGCAATTGTTATTAATGAAAAGTATGATGCGTGGAAAATTTGTTTGAAATTAAAGGAAAATGGATTATTGGCGAAGCCAACGCATAATCATATTATTCGTTTAGCGCCGCCATTGGTTATTAATGAATCGCAAATTAATGAGTGTGCGGAGATTATTAAAAAAGTTATTTTGAATAATGCGGAATAGTTTTTCTATTCTTTTTTTTTTGTTAAATTTTTTTATCTTCTAATTTTCTATTAAGGTTGAAAATTTATTTTATGTCTATTTGCAATTTATATTAATATATTTGATTGAAAAAAAATATATTTGTTCTTGTTTTATTTACGTTGAGGAAGAGGGAGTTTATGTTTAGAGCTGATTGTCAGTGGATGCGTGCGTGGTTACGTGGTTATGTTGCCGGATTGGGAGCGTTAGGGTCGTGGGTTCACTTCTCGGCGTTTGGGGATTTTTTTCTCTCTTAGATATTAATCTCTATATAAAATAATAAATAAAAAAATTATTATTGATAAATAATAACGAAAGTTAATAATAAAAATAAATATAAACAATAAATAAATAACAAAAATAAATAAGAAGAAACAGGATAATAGCCAAAATAAATTGTAAAAAAATGAATAACACAAACAAATGGTAACATAAGAAAATAGCAACAATAACAAAAAAATAATTACAAAAAAGTAATAACTACGATAAAAAATAAATGGAAACTAAAAAATAAATAATAAAACAAATAAAAATAACAAAAGAAATAACGATAACAAAAAAATAACATTAACAAAAGAAAACAATAACAATAAAAAATAAATAAAAACAAAAAAATAAATAATTAAACAAATAATAATAAAAATAAATAACAAAAATAAATAAAGAAAATCAAATAAAACAGTAAATAAAAAAAGAAATAAACAACAAGATCAAATAAATAGTAACAAAAATTAATAAACAAAAATAAATAAAGACAAAAAACAAATAAGAACAAATAAATAGTAAAAGAAAAAAATAACAATAAAAATAAAAAATAAATAAAACAATTAATAATAATAAAAAATAAAAAGAAATAGAAAAATTAATAATAACAAAATAAATAAAGACAAAAAACAAATAAGAAATAAATAGTAGAAATAAAAAAATAAAAAACAAAAAATAAAAATAAAGAAGATTAATAATATAGGAACCAAAAAATAACAAGAAAAACAGGACAAATAAAGAGGAACAAAAGTAATTAGTAAATAAATAACAAAAACAAATAAATGAAAATAAACAAGGACAAAAAATTGCAAAAGTAATAACAAATTAAAAAACACAAAAAATTGTAAATAAAGAAGAATAAAAATTTTAAAATACAATAAATAAAACAAAAATAAATAATAATAAAAAATAAATAAAAATTAAGAAATAAGAAAATAAAATTTATTAAATATGTTTAAAATCATTTTATTTATATCATGTACACGAAAATAGTCATAGTAGGTACTAATAATGAAAGTACTAATAATAATAGTAATAATAATAATAATAATAATAAAAACGAATATAATGTCTTAAAAATAGTCTTTCGCTTCTGATTGTTCATTTGGTCAGTTCATTCAATAAAAATTATAGTACAATATAATATTTTCATTTAAACAATTTCGAATAAAAGTAATTATTTTTTCTTATACTAAAAAACAATTTGTTTCATTTTAAATTAGCACAGATCTATATACAATTGTGAAAATAAATTACTGGATGTGTTGCTTATATTGAAAAGTAAATTACTTTCTAGCTGTTTAATATGTGTATCATTAATTTAAAATAAATTAATAAGTATCTTCGAGGACAATAGTAATAACAATTATTGTCAAATATCGTCAGTACAAAAAATGAAATATCATTTTTTCTTTTGTCTCTCTTTTTTTATTTTATTGTGTGTACCAGCACACAAATTAATCCACTTAGTGGATATTTTTCTTGTTTTTCTAACACTACAAAAACAAAGACAGTATTTGATATATTATACTATCTCTATACAATTAAAATTTAAAATAGTACACGACTATTTAATAGTAACTGGAAAAAAATGAAATTGCACAAAAAAAGGGAATTTTTTTTTTTTTTTTTTTGAAAGTTTGGGTAGACATAATCTCAATCTTATTTATAGTATGGGAAAATAATATTTCTATTTAAGATTGTACTAATAGTTCCTAGAGTATTTTTAGTACTGGTTTCCGCAGTACCAAAAGTATAATAGTATTTTAGTAAAATAGTACTTTTGTCACTTTAGTACTAATTGTAAGAATATGGTATTTTTTATAGTACAATATTAATTGTAGTAAACGGTAATTATAGTACAATAGTACTACTAAAATATTAAATCGTACTACAGAAATACTAAATTTAGTACAATAGTGCCTTCAGTATTTATAATATAATACTAAATTTAGTACAATAGCTGTTTCACTTTTTTTAGAATAACACTAAATATAGTACAATAATACAAATAGTATAATAGTACCTATAATACTACTACTATAGTACTACAAATGTAGTACTACTAATATACTACTACATACATAGTACTACTACTATAGTAGTACAACTGTTGTACTGAAGGAATAGAACTTTAACTATAGTACTACATTTACGATAATCCTACAAATATAGTAATACTACTATAGTACTACTACTGTAGTACTACTACTATACTACAATAGTACTGCAAATGTAGTACTATAGTAGTATACTACAAAAAAAGTACTACTACTATAGTACTATAAATACAGTACTAAAACTGTTGTACTAAAGGAATAGAACTTCAACTATAGTACTATACCACAACAGTACTACAAATATAGTAATACTACTATAGTAGTATTACAAATATAGTAATACTACTATAGTATTACAAACATAGTACTACTACGATAATACTACAAATATAGTACTACCACTTTTGTAATACAAATATAGTACTACTACTTTTTTACTACAAATATAGTACTACAACTGTTGTACTGCAGGAATAGAACTTTAACTATAGTACTACCACTTCAGTACTACAAATATAGTACTACAACTATAGTACTGTATCTATAGTACTACAACTTTAGTACTGCAACTGTAGTACTAAAACTGTAGTACTGCATCTGTAGACTTACTACTATAGTACTACTACTATAATAATTTATTATTATCATTATTATAATAGTACCGATAGTACATAAGTGTTTTAGTAGACAAGTACAGTCAGAATAGTAGTACCTTTAATAGAATTATGGTTTTAGTAAAATAATAAATTGGAGAAAAGTAGTACTAGTAGTACTGTTGGTTTTTTGCACAATACTACTTGTAGTATTTAGTACTTTTAGTACAATTAGTATAATAGTACCATCAGTATCATGTTACATTCAGTATAATAGTGCGTTTAGCTCATTAGTACTTTCAGTACTATATGTGATATAAAATTAATACTATAGAATTTATTTTCATACTCCTATTTTATCTGTAGCACTAATACTATAGTAACAATAGTACTACTATTTTCTGTCATTCTATATAGTACTATAGTACATTACTACATTTAGTTTAATAGTACCTTTAGTACAGTATTTTTTTAGTAAAATAGAACTATCAGTACTATTATGTATATGAAATAGTACTTTCAGTATTATTTATATTTATTTTTTGTATTATTGTACTAAAAATAAATATAGTAGTACATAGTAAATAAATATAGTACTACATGTAGTATTATAATTCATTTAGTACATTACTACATTTGGTTTAATAGTACCTTTAGTACAATATTTTATCAGTGAAATAGTACTTTCAGTACTAGAGTGATCAGTACTGAAAGCACTATGTAATTTTTGACTAAAAATTCATCTCGAAACTAGTACTGAAAGTACTATAAGAACTAAAACTAAGTAGTCCTGTACTAATCAGTACTAAAAGTACTACGGAAACCAGTATTCAATCTTAATTGGAATTGTTTCGAGAAATTGTGCAATTTTATTTAAAAAAAATTGCATACGTTAAATATCGATTGTCAAGTAGGATCTATCATTAAGTAGGATCCAATTAGAAAATATTTACAAAATTAATTTTTACTGTATCTATAGAATAACTTGTTTTTTTGCTAATGTCGCGCACTTTTTCATACAGTGTCATGTCATTTCGTCTTTTTTTTCTCTTCTTCTAATTTAAATTTTTTTCTAACTATATTTAATACTCGACGAATAATATTAACAATAATAATAATAATAAAATTATAATATTACTAATAATTTTTATTATTATTATTAGAATTATTATTATTTTAATAATAATTAAAAAAAGACGTTTCAGAAATTTTCGTTTCATTCCCGAGAATGTTTTTTTTTAAAAAGAAAACAATCATTTAGTTACGTTATTCACACTCGTTATACACATTCACATTTAAAAACAGTAAAAATCACTTGGGCATTCTTTGCCCACCCTATATTCTATACATACATTTATATATAAATATATACACTTTTAAGTGTCATTTCCGGTTAAACGAATTGTTAACAATGATAAATCACGAGAATTTATGTATAATATCCCTGAGACTTGTATAGGTGCCAACGACAAGTCCAAGAAGTCCAAATAAAACAAGTGACATATTTTTTGCCACCATTATTGCTTTCTCAGTTGTTGTTGAAATTGACCAGAATGTACAAATATGAATAATTGCCGGAATTGCAATGCCAACGGCCGACAAGCATAGTGCTCCAAATAATGAGATAAAGAGATCCAATTCGGGAATTAGTACGGCAAGAAGAACTGGAAATAAAAAATAAATATTGTTAATAAAACAAAATAGTAAATAAAATAAATAGTATATAGGGAAATAGTAGAAAATAGTGAGGAATGATGGGAGATAGATGCAAATGGTAGAAAATACTAGAAAATTGAAGGAAAGCGTAAAAAAATCGTAGAAAATAGTAGAAAATTGAAGCAAATTATAGAGATTTGTAGAAAATAGTAAAAAAAATAATAAATAAATAAATAAAGTAGAAAAATAGAAAAGTAAAAAAAGAGTAAAAAATATTGATAGTAGAAAGTAGTGAAGAATAGTGGAAAATAAAGGCAATAAGCAGAAACTACTAGAAAACTGAAAAACGAGTAATAAATAGTATAAAATAGTAGAAAATATTAGAGAAAGTAGGGAAGAGTAGAAAATAGTAATGAAAAGTAGAAAAAAGTAAAAGAAATTAATAGAAGAAAATAGTAAGGAATAATTAAAGATAGAGGCAAAATAGAGACACAAGAAAAAGTAGAGAAGAGTAGAAAATAGTAAAGAAAAAAAGAAAAGAGTATGAAAGAGTAGATACGAGTAGAAAATAGTAGGAAAAGTAGAAAAAAGAGTAAAAAAATTAATAGATGAAAATAGTAAAGCAAAAAAAAAATAGTAGAAAAAAGAATAAAAAATTGATAATAGAAAACAGTGTGGAATAATAATGTAATAGAAAATATAATAGAAAATGTAATAGAATAGTAAAGAATAGTAGAAAATAGTAAAGAATAGTAAATAATAGTAGAAAATAGTAAATAAAATTCTAGATAAATAGTAGTAATGTATACTGTTAAAAGTAGGTAATAATAGGGGATAGTCGAAAATAGTACTAATTTAAAGTGAATAGTAGAACATAGTAGAAAATAGAAAAGAATAGTAAAGAATAGTAGAGAATAGTAAAGAATTCTAGATAAATTGTAATATATATTGTTGAAAGTAGGTAATAGTAGGGGATAGTAGAAAATAATAGAGAATAGTAAATATTAGTAAAGAATTCTAGATAAATAGTAATATATATTGTTGAAAGTAGGTAATAGTAGAGGATAGTAGTAAATAGTAAAGAATGGTAGGGAATAGTAGAGAATTCTAGATAAATAGTAATATATATTGTTAAAAGTAGGTAATAGTAGGGGATAGTAGAAAATAGTTCTAAATTGAAGCAAATAGTAGAATATAGTATAGAATAGTACAGAATAGTAAATAATTCTAGATAAATAGTAATATATATTGTTGAAAGTAGGTAATAATAGAGGATAGTAGAAAATAGTAAAGAATAGTAAAGAATAGTAGGGAATAGTAGAGAATTCTAGATAAATATTGATATATATATATTGTTGAAAGTAGGCAATAGTAGGGGATAGTAGAAAATAGTTCTAAATTGAAGCGAATAGTAGAATATAGTATAGAATAGTACAGAATGGTAAAGAATTCTAGATAAATAGTAATATATATGATTTAAAGTAGGTAATAGTAGGGGATAGTAAAAAATAGTAAAGAATAGTAAAGAATAGTAGGGAATAGTAGAGAATTCTAGATAAATATTGATATATATTGTTGAAAGTAGGTAATAGTAGGGGATAGTAGAAAATAGTTCTAAATTGAAGCGAATACTAGAATATAGTATAGAATAGTACAGAATGGTAAAGAATTCTAGATAAATAGTAATATATATTTTTGAAAGTAGGTAACAGTAGGGGATAGTAGAAAATAGTGAAGAATAGTAGATAATTCTAGATAAATAGGTAGGTAATAGTAGGGGATAGCAGAAAATAGTTCTAAATTGAAGCGAATAGTAGAATATAGTATAGAATAGTAGAGAATGGTAAAGAATTCGAGATAAATAGTAATATATATTGTTGAAAGTAGGTAATAGTAGAGGATAGTAGAAAATAGTACGAAATTGAAACGAATAGTGTAAAATAGTAAAGAATAGTAAATGTTAGTAAATAATTCTAGATAAATAGTAATATACATGGTTAAAAGTAAGTAATAGTAGAAGATAGTAGAAAATAGTACTAAATTGAAGTGAATAGTAGAAAATAGTAAAGAATTCTAGACAAATGATATATATTGTTGAAAATAGGTAATAGTAGGGGATAGTAGAAAATAGTTCTAAATTAAAGCGAATAGTAGAAAATAGTAGAGAATAGTAAAGAATTCTAGATAAATAGTAATATATGTTGTTGAAAGTGGCTAATAGTAGAGGATAGTAGAAAATACTACAAATTGAATCGAATAGTAGAAAATAGTAGAAAATAGTATAGAATAGTAAATAATAGTAGAGAATAGTAAAGAATACTAGAGAATAGTAAAGTATTCTAGATAAATAGTAATATATATTGTTGAAAGTAGGTAACAGTAGGGGATAGTAGAAAATAGTACTAAATTGAAGCGAATAGTAAAGAATTCTAGATAAATAGCAATATATATTGTTGAAAGTAGGTAATAGTAGGGGATAGTAGAAAATACTGCTAATTGAATCGAATAGTATAAAGTAGTAGTAAATAGTATAGAATAGTAAATAACAGTATAGAATAGTAAAGAATAGGTTGACTTGGAGGATTGATAACTTCTTATATATATTAATATAATTTCACCAAGTGATAAATTTAATAATATTAAAGTAATATATATTGTTGAAAGTAGGTTCTAGTAGGGGATAGTAGAAAATAGTTCTAAATTAAAGCGAATAGTAGAAAATAGTAGAGAATAGTAAAGAATTCTAGATAAATAGCAATATATATTGTTGAAAGTAGGTAATAGTAGGGGATAGTAGGGGATAGTAGAAAATAGTAGTAAATTGAAGGAAATAGTAGGAAATAGTAGAAAATTTTAAGAAATCGTAAAAAATAGAAGAAAATTGTACTGCACTTACAAGTAACAAGAACAATACTGGTCCTCAGCACGTACTCCCAAATAACAGTCCTTCTTACCTTTGACATTCTTGGAAAAATGTATTCATTCCAAGAAATATCAATGGCAACATAACATTGTAGTGCATGTGTGAAGAATATTGATATTGCCAATAATATTTGAGCAATTTTTGCTGGAATAATGTCAGTTGTTCCATTTGAAATACTGAATGTTATACTCCCCTCCACTGTATTACCATATCTAAGATAACCAAATAATCCCATTCCAATGTACAATGTTATAATACTGAACATACCAATGTTCAATACACCACAAGAATTGACAAAAGATTTTGGCTCTTTCATTTCATTCTCGAGTGGCATAATCTGAAAAAGAAAAATTTTACTTTCCTACTTTTCTGTTGAGAAATATTAAAATAAAATATATATAATGTGACATTCCACGAGAAAAGGGACCTTATGACAAGAGTAAATAAGGTCCCTTTTCTTGTAAAGCGTCATATATTCTGATTTGTGATTCGCCAATACACATTCGAGGAGTTGCGGACTATCGAAAAAAAGTTGGAAAGAAGAAAAAATTTTGATTTCTTACCACTCCAATTGCCTCGAGTGCAAAAAGTACTGTGCCAAAAAATAGAGGAAAGTCTTCAACTTTTCCAATGGGATCCTTTCCCTCAAGTGTTGGAGGCACTCTAAATAGATAGTAGAGAATAATTCCAAAACTAGCGAGTGTCATTACATTGGCAATCGTCGATAGTGGTGCCAATGCTTTTAAGCTTCTTATCCAGTTGATGAATATCAATGGTAAAAGAAGTGTCAACATGTAGTGACTCAATGTGAACGATGCAGGTACATATGGGTCCAATGCCTGTAACAATAATGTGGGAGTCAGTATTGAAACAATGTAGGAACACTTTCTAAGCAATGTGGGAGAAATTTTGAAGCAATGAATAGGAACAATTTAGAAAAAGGCAGAAACAATTTAAGAGTAATGTAGAATTTATTGTAGAAACAATGTATAGGAGCTAAGTGGGAATAATGTAGGAAAAATTAAGAAGCCTTGTTTGGAAGTACTGGAAACGATGCAGAAACAATGTAAGAACTAGGGAGGAGTAATGTAGAAACCAATATAGAAATAATGTAGGAGAAACGTAGGAGTAAAGTAGGAAACAAATATTATAAAAATGGATACAAATGTTAACAAAATAGGAATCATTGAAGAAACAATTTAGAATCAATTGAAAATAAATATAGAATGTATGCAGGAACTAATATAGGAACAATGTAGGAGTGATGTAGGAATTTTATAGAGTCAATGAAGGAAAATTGTAAAAACATTATAGAGGTATTGTAGGAACCATTAAGGAATAATAATTAACTCTAATTATAGAGTCAATGTAGGAACAATGTATGAATAATTAAAAAGCTATGTAGGAACTATTGTAGAAACAATGTAGGAACTAGGTTGGAACAACGTAGGAAAAATTAAAAAGCCATCTTTAATATAAGTGCGATGTAGGAAGTATTATAGGGATTATTTACGAAACAATAGAGGAACAGTATGGGAATCGACATAGGAACAATGTAGGAATATTATAGGAACAATATTGTAGGAGCAATGTAAGAACCATTATAGATATAATTTAGGAGAAATGAAGGAACCTTAGTAGGTTCCCAGGTATAAATATAAGAACTAATGAAGGAAAAATATAGGATCCAATATAGAAATAATATAAGAGAAAAGTGGGAAACAAATATTAACAAAGTAGGAATCATTAAAGAAACAATATAGGATCAATTAAAAATAAACATAGAATGTATGTGGGAACTAATATAGGAACAATGTAGGAGTCAGGTAGGAACTTTATAGAGTCAATGTAGAAACATTATAGAGACGTTATAGGCTAAATGTGGGAATAATGTAAGAACATTATAGAGTCTTTGTAGGAATACTGTAGGCATAATGTAGGAACATTATAGAGACATTGTAGAAACAATAAAAGTAAAATAATTATCTCTAATTATATGAACAATGTAGGAACATTATAGAGACATTGTAGGAACAATGAAATTAAAATAATTAACTCTAATTATAAGAATATTGTAGGAACATTTTTGGACCATTGAAGAACCATTGTAGGAAAAGTATAGGAAGAATTAAAAAGCTATGTAGGAAGTATTTTTAGAAAGAATGTAGGAACTAGATGGGAACAATATAGAAAAAATTAGGAAGCTATCTACAATGTAGGAACATTGTAGAAACATTAAATAGGCATTGTAAGATTATAGAGACATTGTAGGAACAATGTAGGAGCACTGTAGGAACATTAGAGTTTTTATAGGAACAATGTAGTTATAATTTAGGAACATTATAAAATCGTAGGATAAATGTGGGATTAATTTTGAAACATTAGAGTCAATGTAGGAACACTGTAGGAATAATGTAGGAACAGTATATAGTCAATTTAGGAATATTGTAGTAATATTATAAAGTCGCTGTAGGATAAAGGTGGGAAAAATGTAAGAATATTATATAGTTATTGTAGGAAGACTGTAGGAATAATGTAAAAAACATTATACATTATAGCGACATTGTAGGAACAATGAAGGAATAATAATTAACTCTAATTGTAGAGTCAATGTAGGATCAATGTAGTAACAGTAGGTAATAGTATAAAAAAAATAAATAGTAATAGAAAAATTAATAGGATATAGAACAAAATAGTAAAAATTAATACAGAATATTAAAAAATATTGTATAAGTAGTAGGGAAAATATAAAATAATAGAAAATAGAATAATGCAGTAGAAAATAGTACAAAATTCTTTAAAAATAGTAGAGAATAGAATAAAATAGTTATAAATAGTAAAAAGGAGAAAAAAAATATTGCAAAAGTAGTAGGAAGGTGAACGAAATAATAAAGAAGAGTAGAAAATAATTAAAATTATTGTTAAATTTCAAAAAATTCTAGGCAACAGTAGGTAATACAAGTAAAGAATAAAAAGTAGTAGAAAAATTCTATAAAAGTAGTAAAATAGAGAACAGTAGAAAACTTTTTTAAAAAATAGGAAATAGTAGCTCTTAGTAGGAAATGGTAATAAACCATTTAAAAGTATTAAAAGCATAAAGTCGAAGGGAATAATAAAAAAAATATAAAGGCTAAAAGAAAATAGTGTAAAATTAGTAGGAGGTAGAATAAAATAGTAAAAATTAATAAAGAATATTAAAAAATATTGTAAAAGTAGTAAGAAAAAATAAAATAATAGAAAATAGTAGAATAGGAAGTAAGAAGAAAGAAAAAGTAGGAAGTAGAATTAAGTAATAGTAAATAGTAAAAAAAATGTTGTAAAAATAGTAGAGAGTTGAATAAAAGTGTTAAAAATAGTGAAAAAATTATTGCAGAATTAGTAGGAAGTTAAAAGAAATAGTAGAGAATAGTAGAAAATAGTTAAAATTATTTAAAAATTTTTAAAAAAATCTATAAAACAGTAAGAACAAGTAGAAAATAATAAAAAGTAGTAGAAAAGTAGTAGAAAATAGAAAACAGCAGAGAATGGTAAAGACTAGTAAAAAATAGTAAAAAACTAATAAAAAAATAGTAGAAACTAGTAGAAAATAGTGGAAACTAGTAGAAAATAGAAAGAAATAATAGAAAATAGTTGGGAATAATAAACAAATAGTATAAAAAAGGTTAAAATAATGATAAATAGTGATAAATATAGTAAAAAGTTTGAATAAAATAATAGGTTATAAGTAGCGAAAATAGATGCATAAAAAATAATAAGGAAAAGTAGAAAAGAAATAGAAAAAAGTAGTAATTATCAAAAAGTAATAAATAATTGTATTTTATAGTAAAAAATAGTAAAGAAAAGTAGAAAAATACTACATAAATAGTAGAAAATATTAAACAATTGTAGAAAGATAGTAGGAATATTGTAGGAACATTACAGAGTCATTGTAGGAACGCTGTAGAAATAGTAATGGAAAGTAGGAAAATGCTACATAAATAGTAGAAAATATTAAACATTAGTAGAAAAATAGTAGAAATGCTGTAGGAATAATGTAGGAACATTACAAAGTGATTGTAGGAACACTGTAGAAATAGTAAATAAAAGTAGAAAAATACTACATAAATAGTAGAAAATAGTAGAAAATAGTAGAAAATAGTAGAAAATAGTAGAAAATAGTAGGAATAATGTAGGAACATTACATTGTAGGAACACAGTAAAAACGAATCCAGACACAATGTAGGATTATTGTAAGAATCACTGTAGAAACAGTATGGAATCAATTTAATAGTAATGTAGGAAGCTATAAAACAGGTTCAAAAGTAGGAACTAAAATTTAAATTTTTACAAACTATTTGTAGTAAATAATACTTACAATTTTTAAATTGTTTGCAATGAAAACCGTGTAAACACAGCAGGTACCAAGTTGATAAATCAACAAAAATGCGTTTATCACATGTCTGCAAAGAAAAGGTATTTTTTTCTCTCAATAAATTACTAATAATTAATAAATAATAAATTTAAAAAAAAAACTTTTTTCCAATAATTACCCAGCATATTTGGCACAAGGTCGGAAAAATTTTGGTCCATCATTTAATGCCTCAATTGCCGTTAATGGATAAGTGAGTGAGGGAATTTTTCTTCTCTTACAAAGTACGTATTCCGATTTAATTAATAAATGTATACAGTATGTACATAGGAAACCAATAACAATTGTTCCCACTATTCCCACTCCGTAACCTGCATGTGAAAATGCTTTTGGCATTGCTAAAATGCCAGTTCCCAAACTCCCCTTCAGGAGATGAAGAAGTGTCTCCCAAAATCTGGAGAAAAAAAATTATTTTTAAAATAGAGAAATTTTATTTATTTATTTATTTATTTATACATATAAATGGGCAGTGCCCTTTCATATATAATTTAAATATTAAAATTTAATTTAATAATTAAATAATTTTTTTACTCTTTTGCCTTATTTAGAAGAAAAAAATTGTAATTGAAAAAAAAATTGAGGTGTTGATGATAAAAATATATATATATACAATAAGCATTTATGTAATGTAATTAAAATGTTAATTGATGGAAGATCTCAAAACAATAAATCGTGATGATTTTTTTTACCTTGAGAATCAAACTGAAACTAATAAACGCTAAAAAAATAATTTATAGCGAGACTACGTTAATTATAAAACTAACACTTACGTGGTAGGATGATCAACTTGTCGATGATTATATGGTTCATAATCATCCTCCAATTCTTGAACGTAACTCTTTTTATCCTGCAGTTCAACAGTATAAATATTACTTCTCTCATCTTTTGATAATTTTCTGCAAATGAAAAAATTTTTTTATTCATAAATTTCTTAAAAGTTGCACAATTTTGTAAATCGATTAAATTTATTTTTCAAAATCGTTTTGAAAAATGTAAAATTATAAATTTCAAACAATTATAAATTTTTATAATTCTTTAAATTACTTATATAAAAACAATTATAAAAATTTTAATAAATAAGAATAGTAAATTTTTGTAAATGTTGAAAAGAAAAAAATTGTAAATATAGAAAATAGTAGAAAATAGAAGATAAATGAAATTTAAATAAAACTTTTTTGGGAAAAGTAAGAAAAAAGAAGAGAAAAGAATTGGGAAAAGTAAAACATAGTTAGTAAATAGGGAGTTTATTAAAAATAGTAGAATACAGTAGATAATAGTAGAAAATAGTAAAGAGCAGTATAAAAGTATCAGAAAAAAATAAAATAGAAAGAATTAGTAAAAAAAATTGTAGAAAATAATAATAAATATAGTAGAAGGTAGTAGAAAATAGTAGATAATAATAGAAAATAGTAAAGGCAAATATGTGAATATTAGAAAAAGATTTAAGTTGAAAGAAATAGTAAAAAAGCTGAAAAATTGTAGAAAACTATAAAAAACAGTAGAAAACATTTTAAAAATAGTAGGGAATAGTAGATAATAGTAGGGAATGGTTAAGAACCATCTAAAAGTAATAAGATAAGGAATAAAGTCGAAGAGAATAGTAAAAAAATGTAAAGATTAGTAGAAAATAGTGTAAAGTTAGTAGGAAGTAGAACAAAATAGTAAAAATTAATTCAGAATATTAAAAATATTGTAAAAGTAGTAGGAAAACAATAAATTAATAGAAATTGTTTAATAGTATTAGGAAGTAGAATAAAGCAGTAGTAAATAGTAGAAAATGTTTCAAAAATAGTAGAAAGTGGAATAAAACAGTTAACAATAGTAAAAAATATTGTAAAAGTAAAGAAGTAAAGAAGAGAATAGTAGAAAGTAATTAAAATTATTGTAAAATTTAAAAGAAAGTTGAATAGTAGAAAATAGTACGAAATAGTAAAGAATAGTAAAAAATAGTGAAAAATAGTAAAAAAAAAATAGTAAAGAATAGTAAAGAATTCTACATAAATAGTAATATATATTGTTGAAAGTAAGTAATTGTAGGGGATAGTAGAAAATAGTAGTAAATTGAAGAGAATAGTACGAAATAGTAGAAAATTGTAAGAAATCGTAAAAATAAAGTAGTAGTAAATAGTAAAAAATGTTGAAAAATAGTTAAAAATAGTAAAAAATATTATAAAAGTAAAGAAGTAAAGAAGAGAATAGTAGAAAATAATTAAAATTATTGTAAAATTTAAAAAAAAATTCTATGAAACGGTTAGTAATAGTTTAAAAGAATAAAAAGTCGTAGAAAAATAGTTGAAAAGTAGTAGAAAATAGTAAACAGTAGGTAAAAGTTGACAATAGTAGGAAATAGTAGAAAATGGTACAAACGAGTAGAAAATAGTAGGGAAACATAATCCAATAGTAAAAAAAATTGTTTGAAATAATGAGAAATAGTGTAAATGTAAAAGTATAAAAATGTAGAATAAACTAATAGGTAATAGGTAATAGGTAGCAAAAATAGGTACATAAAAAATAATAAGGAAAAGTAGAAAATAAATGGAAAATAGTGGGAAACATCAGAAAGTAAGCAATATTAGTATTTATAGTAGAGAATAATAAAGAAGAGTAAAAAAATACAACAGACAAAGTAGAAAATATTAGAGAATGGTAGAAAAATAGTAGAGAATAGTAAAAGTAGGCAAGCGTAGAACATAAGAGTAATAAATATTAAAAAATAGGAGAAGATTATTAGAAAATTTGTAAAAAAAAAAGTAAGGAAAATACTAAAGAATAGAATAAAACTGTTTGGGAAAAATATAATAGTGGGAAATAGTAAAAAATAGTATGAATATAGTAGAGAATAGAATTAAATAGTTGTCAAGAATAAAAAATAGTGCGAAAGTACTAGAAAATAGTAGCAAATATTTTATAACTGTAGGATGTAGTATAAAATTCAGTTTGAAAATAGTAGGTCATAGTATAATAGTAGTAGAAAGTAGGATAAAATAGTAGGGAATAGTAAAAAAAGATTAAGAATCGAAAACAGTTGGAAGAAGGTGAAAATAGTAGAAAATAGTTTAAAAATAGAAAAATAGCGAAACAATATAGTAGAAGAAGCCAAAAGTAGGAAAAGTAGAACATAATTTTAATAAAATGTACAGAATAGTAGAAATTTAGTAATAAATAGTAATAATAGGTAAAAGTAGAAAATAATAGTGATAAATTTTTCTTTAAAACAGTAGAAAAATAATTGGAAGTAGCGTAAAAATAGTAGAAAAATACAGAATAAAATATAATTAGTAGGGAAAGAATAAAAAAGTAAGGAACAGTGAAAATAGTAGAAAAATAAAAAATTAGTAAAAAAATAGTAGAAAATACTAAAATTAGTTAAAAGTAGAACAGAATTCTAGTAAATCTTACAAAAACAGTAGAAATTTAGTAAGAAATAGTAATAATTGATGAAAGTAGAAAATAATAGTTATAAATATATTTCTTTAAAATAGTAGAAAAATAATAGGAAATAGCGTAAAAATAGTAGAAAATAATAAAATATTTAAATAAAAGTATTTTTTGTAAGTATTAGAAAATGAATAAAATAGTTCGAAATTGTAACAGATAGTAGAAATATAGTAGAAAATAAAGTAAGGTAGTAGGAAATAGTAAAAAGTTGTTTAAAAATTACAGGAAATAGTAGAAAATAATAAAGAATTGTTTAAACATTCCAAGGAATAGTAAAAAATAAAATAGTAGGGAATAGTTAAAAAAAGTAAGAAAAGTTAGAGAATAAAAGAAAATAGTAGAAAAGAGTTGAAGATAGGTGAAATTAGTAGGGTAAGTAGAAAATAATTTGAGTTATGCCAAAGTAGGTAAAAATAGAAACAAATAGTAGTAAATGTAGTAGAATAATAGAATTGAAAAATAATAAAATAGAAAATAGAAAATAGAAGACAAATAGAAAATATGAAAAATTGATAGAAGTAGAATAAAATATTAGTAAGTATTATAGAGTAGTAGAAAAATAGTAGAAAATTGTGAAAGTAGGTAAAAACTAAAAATAGAATAAAATTATTGTAAATAGTATAAAGAACAGTAGAAAAGAAGTAAAAAAGCATAAAAGTAGAAGATCTTGATAATAAATATTAAAGAAAGTAAAAAAATAGTAGAAAATAATAGTTGTATGAAATACTAATCAGACATTTTAAAAAATAGTAGAAAATGGTAAAGAATAGTTTTAACATTGCAAAGAATAGTATAAACTAGTAAAAAAAGGTAGAGAATAAAAAAAGTAGAAAACTGTTAAAAGTAGGTGAAAATAATATAGGATATAGTACAAAATAATTTAAGTTAAGCATAAGTAGGTAAAAATAGAAATAAATAGTAATAAATATAGTAGAATATAGAAGAAAAATTGTAAAAGTAGAATAAAATTGTTGTAAATAGTAGAAAAAGTAGTAAAAAAAATAGTAAAAGTAGGTAGAAGTAGAAAATTTTAGTAATAAATTTTATAGAAAGTAGAAAAATAGTAGAAAATATTGAAAGTAAATGATATTAATAAACATTAAAGAATAGTAGAAAAATAGTAGAAAATAGTAGAAAATAGTAGAAAATAGTAGAAACTAGTAGAAACTAGTAGGAAATAATAAAAACAGGGATAACAGCGAGTAGGAATTAGTAGAAAATGATACCAAATGATAACAAATTGTATTAAAAGATATAATTATGAAATACTAATCAGAAATAGTAAAAAATAATAGAAAATATTAACAAAAATAAAAAATAGTAAACAGTAATAGGAAATAGTATGGAATAGTATAAAAATTAAAAAAAATATTATAATGATAATAATATTATAAAACTTACTTTTTCGTTTCATTTTTTATGGGCTTCTTTTGATCCAGATGATCCTGTAAATAAATAAAAAAAATTATTAAAATATCTTTCACAAGCAATAACAATTTATTCAAATAAATTTCCTTTAAATTTTCTTTTATTTCAATTTTGTTCTAATTTAAAAAAAAAGATTTTTTAATTTTAATTATAATAATAAAAGGAAAAATAATAACAACCTTTACTTTTAAATATGTAATTATTTCTAACTGTTTTTTTTTTGTTAATTACAATTTTCTTCGCTAAACAAATCAATCATTAATAATGAAAAGTAGTGTATTGACAGTTGTGTAAAAATTACTTTTTTATCGGAAACGAAAAAAAACAAATGTAAAACATATTGTTTTTACCATTTAAATTGAATTTATTTGTTGTAAACGTTTTAGAAAGGAAAAAAAAGAGTTATTTTAAGAATTGCGATTATCTTTTCAAACACACTTTTTAGTAGTTTAAAAAAAAATTATGAAATATTTCTGTCTATACTCGAATGCACCTTGTGTAATAAATTTTAACACTGCAAGAACTCGCCTTTACCTATTCCTAAAAATGATAACGATATGAATGACTATTATTTTTAATTTAACATGCAACTCTTTGTAATTTATTATTTTTCATTCACGTTGCTCTAATTATTAGCTTTAGAAAGAATAAAATTTAATGTCAATATATTTGTACAATTCTTTTTTTAAAAAAAAACAATAATTACATGAACTTCTAATAATTATTATTAGTCACCGTTTAAATATTTTCAATTATTTACAACTAGCAGAGCTACTTATTTACAATTGCTCGAAAAAGAAAAAATTTATGGAATGTTGTTATTTGTTCTAATAAATTATCTCTTCTATTTTTTACACGAAAAATGTATGATTCAAATTCTTTATCTTTGTTAATTAATATTCATTATACTTCGGTTCCACAAAATTTCTTTTGTTATCTTTCATACACATAATTGCGGAAAAAGAAGTTAGGCAAAAAAAAAAGTTATATTAAATTTAACTTGAATTTTTATTTATGATTTTCTACATATATTTTTTTTAAAAAGTCAGAAATTAACAATTTTTGAGAAATTTTTAAATTAAGAGTTACAAAAAATTTCTACTCGCGAAAAGAAAATTATTCGTGGAAGTAGAAATTTTTTTAATATTTGATTTAAAGTGAACAAATAAATCGAAGTTAAAGTCACAGAATAATTTTTGGAAAATTTTTTAGAAAATTGGAGAAAATTGTAGAAAATTGTAGAAAATTGTAGAAAATTGTAGAAAATTGTAGAGAATTGTAGAAAATTGTAGAAAATTGTAGAAAATTGTAGAGAATTGTAGAAAATTGTAGACATTTGTAGATATTTGCATAAAATTGTAAGAAATCGAAAAAAATTGTTTGGAAATTGTAGCAATTTTTGTATAGAATATATTAAAGAAAATTCTTTTGACGATTATTATTATTATTTTTGATGATTTTTCATTATCATTAATGATCATTTAATGAATTTTCACAATTATTAATAATTTTTTGCAGTATCCAATGATTATTAATAATTATTTAATAATTTTTTATTATTCAATGTTTATTTGATAAGTTTTTATATAAATTATTGATAATTGATGTTTTTTGATGATTATTATTTACTGTTTTTGATGATTATTTATAATTATTTGATGATTGTTGATAGCAATCATCAAATCAAATCTTTGATTGATAATTATTAATTATTTCATAATTTTTGTTCATTTTGTATAATAATTAAATATTTTTTATAATTATTTACAATTATTTGACGACTATTGATGATTATTATAAACTGTTTGATGATTTTTGATGATTATTATTAATGATTTAAAAAATTTAGATGATTTTTGAAATAATTGATGTTTTTTGATATGATTATTGTTTACTGTTTGATGATTTTTGGGAATAATTGATGATTTTGATGATTCTTGGATTTTATTGTTGATTTTTGGTGTTAATTAATAATTATTTGCTTATTATTTATGATTGATATTAAGTGTTTAATGATTTTATATTTTTTATGGAGAAAATTGATGATTTTCTTGATAATTTTAATTCTAATAAGTTTTTATTGCTTTCTCGGAATAACAGATGAATTTTAATGATCATTTATAATTATTTGATGATTTTGACAATTATTGTTAAATGTTAGATGATCTCTGACGATTATTATTAACTCTTTGATGACTTTTGCTGATTTTTAAGAATAATTCATATCATTTTTTAAGATTATTATTGACTTTAAATGAGTTTTTATGGTTATGATTTTTATTAACTTTTTAATAAGTTTTCGTTGTTTTTTGGAATAATGGTTGATTTTTGATTATGAAAAATAAATATTTGATGATTTTCGATAATTGTTGTTCACTGTTTGAAGATGTCTTACTATTATTACTAACTGTTTGTCAAATTTTGTTGATTTCTATAAACAATTGATAATTTTTACGATTATTATTCACGGTTTGATGATTTTTGATGATTTTTTGGAATAGTTGATGATTTTTTTTTATTAGTAACAGTTTGATGAATCTTGATAATGTTTCAGAATAAGTGAAGATTTCTCATAATTTCTAAAAATAATTGATATTTAGATGAATTTTGTTGATTTTTCAAAATAATTGATGATTTTTGATGATTATTACATAGTGTTTAATGATTTTTGATGGTTTTTATGAATAATTGATGATTTTTATAGTCGTTATTAAAGGTTTGATGATTTTTTGATGGTTTTTCAGAACAATTTATGATTTTTAGAAAAAATTGATGATTTTTGATGATTATTATTTACGAATTCATGAAATTTTATAATTTTTCGGAACAAATATTAATAATTTCTTATGATTTCTAATAATAATTGATGATTTTAGATCAATATTAATAATTATGTGATCAAATTTTATGATTATTAATAATTGTATGATTATCTTTTATGATTATTTTCAACTGTTTGATGATTTTTGATGATTTTTGATGATTTTTAGAAATAATTCATGATTTATTATTTATTAGATGATAATTAATAATTTTATTAATTTATTAATGATTTAATGATTTTTATTAATGATTTTTAATGATTGTCATTCAATCTCTGATAATTTTTTATGACTATTATTATAATTAATTTATTATTTTTGATAAATATCAATTTTTTTACTGCTTTTAATGTTTATTAATAATTATTCGATAATTTTTTATGACTATGATCTGTTTGTTGATTTTCAATGGTTTTTAGTAATAATTGATAATTTTTGATAATTATTCATAATTATTAATAATTATTTAATTATTTGGTGATTTCTGATGAACAATTATTATATTATAATTTTTTATGACTATATTTTTGATTGATTTATCATTTTTCTCTAATAACAATTTTTTTTTGTGTTAACGATTATTAGAAAGAATTCAACATTTTTTGTTTGTTGATTATTATGATCAGTTTGATGATTTTTAATTACTAGTATTAACTGTCTGATTATTGTTGATAATAAATTAATAATTTTTCACGTGTATTAATAATTACAAGATAATTTTTTATTGTTAACTGTTTGATGATTTTCGAAGATTCTCAGAAATAATTGATAATTTTGTATGATTATTGTTAAATAATCGATTATTTTTTTATTATTTTTAGGGAAAAAATGTATTATTTGTCGAATACAATATTAACTGTGGAATTTTTTTATTTACATGTATTTAATTTCATTATTTTATCAAGAAACATAGTGCAGTAAACGATGCTTTTTAATAGAGCGAATGCTGCATTTGATCGTATGCAATGTTAATTTACAAATATAATGCCATAAGTAACTGGATAAGGTCAAGCCTTCAACCATGAAGGATTTTTATATAAAAGGAGTTTCTAATGAAATTTTACTTCACTATTACATGAGAAGGTGAAGGGTACAATGCCATTATCATTTCATTTATATATGTATACATTATCTTTCTAAACAATATATTAAATAAATTATTTAATATAATATAATAATATTTTTTAATAATATTAATTATTAATAATTATTATTTATTAATTACATATTTTATTTTAAATTAAAAAATTTAACAAATGCCGGGATTCGAACCCTTGTCGTTTGCATGACAGTCGAGCCCCTTAACCGCGTGGACAAACTACACTCTTATGTTAATTTATATTTTTTGTGTTATTTATTACATAAAATTATCATTTTACTTGCTTATTAATTTATTGATTTACTTATTTACTCTTTTACTTACTTATTTACTTATTTACTTATTTACTTATTTACTTATTTACTTCTTTACTTATTTATTTACTTATTTATTTATAAATTTATTTGTCCATTTCATAATAATTTGTTTACTGAGTTATTTATTATCACGTACATTTTGTACTTAATTATATATCTAATTATTTAATTAATGATTTATTTATTAATAATTTAATTAACTATTTATTTTACTATTTAATTTTAATATTATAAAATTAAAATATTGCAAAAAAAAATTTTTTAAATTAAATATTCGAACAGTTATGACAAAATTATATGTAGATGATATATATTAATAACGATGGAAGTAATAATTATTCGCATCGCGTTAGAATGATGTCAGTGATTTTAATGACTAGAACAACGTGAATCACTTTCATTTAAATGAAAAGTCAATAGTAGTAAAGTTTACTCAAAAGATTTTATTACAACTGTTTTATTCTTATTTATTTAATTATTAATTTTTTTTTAGTTCTATTTTTATTTCCCTCCCACCCCTTTATTACTAGACGCTTTTCACCAAATTCAATGATTCATTTTCGTAATAATTATAATAATCACTAATTAATGAATACTTTTATTAATTCTTTGTTAATTAATCATATTAATTACTGTCACTAATTATTTATTTAAATGCTATACTAAATTAATTAATGATTTATTATTAATAGTTAGTAATTAATACTAATTAATAATGATAATTATTATTAATAGTTAACTCTAAGAATTAATTAGTTAATGCTAATTAGTAATTTTTA